ACACTTTAAGTTTAAAGTGGTGAGCGAAAATGCACCATAGTTTTTTTTCCAACAAAAGTAAGGAAAAAAAAAATTTCAGCTATTCCTTCAATTTAGCTATAAATATATATTTTTTGGGCTAAGACTATATCACATTTTAAAAATCAAAATTTTTTTTGGCTGGGCTGCAGCCCATAGCTGCATTCGTACCGGTGTGGGTGGGGTGAGAGCTGAGAGAGAGAGGGGAGACAAGAAGAAGAGAGGGAGGTGCAAAATAATATGTTTTTTAATTTTAAATAATTAGGTGGTACAGTGTGAACCCTGGAAATCGCAAGTTCGGTATTTCAAAAGGCAAAAAGTAAATTCCTCATAGTGAACTACAGTGTGAACCCTTGAAATTGCCACCGTTTTCCAGAAGTAATTACCTTTCCAGTGTGAATGAATTTGAGATCAAAATTCCTTTTAAGAGATGATAATGTTGCCTCTTTTACGTCAATATGCAGAGAATAGCTAGGTGGCTCCCAAATTGAAAATTTGTTATGTTCCATATTATGCGCATGAACATGCAAACACATATACATCATATATTGATAGTCACGTTCAGTGTCTAGGATTGGATTTGGATGAAACAACTCGGTAGAATCAAACATCTTGAATTAAGAAATGAAGTAGAGATGAAGGATTTTTACAATTTTGTGCGGATTAGAACAGGTAAGCTATAAGGTGTTCATATCCTGCCCATTTTATAGGAATTAGAAGGACAAACTTGCTTCCTGAAAATATTGAATGTAAATTAATAGAATTATAAAAGGCTTAATTATGTAATGCCCCCTGGGCTTTCCAACTTCTCTCAATTACCCCTGTGGTGAAAACGTCTCTTAAAAAAAAAAAAAAAAAAAAAAAAAAAAAAAAAAAAAAAAAAAAAAAAAAAAAAAAAAAAAAAAAAAAAAAAAAAAAAAAAAAAAAAAAAAAAAAAAAAAAAAAAAAAAAAAAAAAAAAAAAAAAAAAAAAAAAAAAAAAAAAAAAAAAAAAAAAAAAAAAAAAAAAAAAAAAAAAAAAAAAAAAAAAAAAAAAAAAAAAAAAAAAAAAAAAAAAAAAAAAAAAAAAAAAAAAAAAAAAAAAAAAAAAAAAAAAAAAAAAAAAAAAAAAAAAAAAAAAAAAAAAAAAAAAAAAAAAAAAAAAAAAAAAAAAAAAAAAAAAAAAAAAAAAAAAAAAAAAAAAAAAAAAAAAAAAAAAAAAAAAAAAAAAAAAAAAAAAAAAAAAAAAAATAAGAAAAGTTCATATTTGTTTTCCTCTCAATATATAGACGGGGTAAAAAATAACTATATATAATGACTCTTAAAAGACCTCGACCGTCAAGTTCAGATTTGAACAAGTGTCAAAGTCTGTACTTTTACTCTTTGGCTGCTGATTATGGCTTTGAGCCCAACGCTCTGGACCCTGTATGTTCTTTGTTATTCAGGTGATTTCTTTCTGTAAAATTACTACTGGATCTTGTTAAGAAATGGTTGGGAGAAAATGAAAATAAGTCTTGGGGTTACAATTTTCTCTTCTTGTTTGCGCTTTTAGTTCAAAATTTTGGGGTCTTTAGATTTTGGGCTTGAACTTGAGTTGCTAGTTGGGGACCAAATTTGGGTTATGTGATTTGAACTGATTTTGTTATACGACGTCTCTCCTGTTGCCATATCTCATTATCAAAATGATAATGTGAACCAGTTTGTGTAGTGGACTGCTTGTAGGAGTGTTCATGAAACTAGAACCATATGATGCTCAATGGAATAGTGACAAATTTTCCATAGAATTTAGAAATAGGTGCAGACATGAAAGGAATTCGTTATTGCAAAGTACCTTGCCTGCTAGAGGTTCTGTTGATTGTCTTTTTTAAAAATTTGTTGTTTCTGTCTGTGAGGATAACATCTTGGCCTTTGAAGCAGATTATGGCTAAGATTATTGCTGAGGTATTATTAGGTAGTTAAAGACTAGATTGTTTAACGTGAAGCATGTTTTGTCTCTCCATCTATATCATAACGCAGGATGCCTTTAGGTGAGCTAAGATTATTCTGTGTGTTCATGTTCCTTTTTCCTCTGTCTTAGAAAACTTTCAATTTCTTCATTGGTAATTGGGGATTGTCATATGTTCTTTTGATAGATATCGGTTTTGTTGAATAGTTTCTGTACTTGGTGTACGTTAAGTGTTTCAAAGGCTAATGGCACAAAGTTGTGATGGCAGATTAAGAGGGCGACAGAGTCTTCTGAAGGTTGTGTGAAAGACTTCATCTTTGGATCAAAAAGGCAACCTGAAAGAGAAATTGAAAAGCTGGCCCTTAACAGTGCAAAGGAATATCATTAGTCCTTTAAAAATAAAAATAAAAATTAACGTCCTTAGTTAAATAGGCAGTTAACAATGTATTGAGAATGGTTCTGCTGTTCTTGTTAGTTTCATGTGGTGATATTTGGACCTTATGTGGTGATATTTCATGTTTTGTTTCATTTCATGTATGATCTTCACCTTGCTGCCAAGATAAAACCAAATTTAGTATGGATATGATTCTTGGGCATTTGAGCAGTGTTTTATAATTTTGGAATCCTTTGCCATATTTGGAAATGGTCACATAACGATAGAATTTCTTATTAGATCGGTAAACAGAAAGTCCTATTCAAAAAATTAACGACACATGTGAATGTTGTCATAGATAAGCAAATACAATTATCAATTAGTATTTTTTTCTCATGCGGTACGAGATTATACATATAAAAGTAGAAAATAGATGGTTTCAACTAGGAATATCTTTTAAAGAAATATTCTTTTTATCTACTACTGAGGGGAGTGAAGGTGAAGACGTACATCTCCAATGTCCTCTCCTTGACCTCCTCTATTTGTACACAGACTTCATAAACAAATTCACTTGAAACACAATACCAAGCAGAGAATGGATGAGTTTGGTCTTCTAAATCTCTTTGCCTTAGAATCTGACAACATGGCCCTTTTAAAAAAAAAAAAAAAAAAAAAAAAAAAAAAAAAAAAAAAAAAAAAAAAAAAAAAAAAAAAAAAAAAAAAAAAAAAAAAAAAAAAAAAAAAAAAAAAAAAAAAAAAAAAAAAAAAAAAAAAAAAAAAAAAAAAAAAAAAAAAAAAAAAAAAAAAAAAAAAAAAAAAAAAAAAAAAAAAAAAAAAAAAAAAAAAAAAAAAAAAAAAAAAAAAAAAAAAAAAAAAAAAAAAAAAAAAAAAAAAAAAAAAAAAAAAAAAAAAAAAAAAAAAAAAAAAAAAAAAAAAAAAAAAAAAAAAAAAAAAAAAAAAAAAAAAAAAAAAAAAAAAAAAAAAAAAAAAAAAAAAAAAAAAAAAAAAAAAAAAAAAAAAAAAAAAAAAAAAAAAAAAAAAATGACAACTTTTACATATCGATATTTTAATTTTCAATTTAAATAACAAAAAATAACCCCTAGAGTTATGACTAGTATTTGCATGTTAAAATTGATCGAAAAACAATGGCAACTTCAATCAAATCAGTGCGCATGCATGTGTGATAATTTTACGCTCAATATGTAAGTGATAGAGCAAAAAGCCAATAACTTACCGGTAAGTTATAGCGTGAAAAGCCAATATTTAACCATCATGTAAGTGATGGAGTGAAAAGCCTATAACTTACCGGTAAGTTATTGCGTGAAAAGCCAATATTTAATCGTCAGGTAAATGATTGAGCGAAAAGCCTATAACTTACCGGTAAGTTATTGCGTGAAAAGCCGATATTTAATCGACATGTAAATGATGCAGTGAAAAGACTACAACTTACCGGTAAGTTATCGAGTGAAAAGCCAATACTTTACCAAACATCAAAATTAAGACAATCTGGTGCGCCTCCACTAACGAGCACGCAGTATCGAAGAAACTCTGGCGTATGCATCCCAACTAGGATTTCAAACTTAAAATAATAATTAAAAGATAAAGCTTGAAAAAACCAAGCTATAACAATACAAAGAAAATGACAGGACTCGCTCGGAATCCGTGACGGATCCAGTGGTATTTTCGACATCCAACCGATACCGGGCCCACTTACTGATTTCAAATGTCCTCTTCCCCTAAAACAAAGGAAAAGAGGGCCGAGACTTCTACCGAAATTTTCGGCAGAGTCTCCCTTGAAAAACGGACTTAACCAAATTTTTCAACCTGTCAAAAACACAGTTTAAAATTTCCACACTTCAACATGCACAGTCTACCCTCCAGGCATAGTCATAAGTAGTTGTAAGGACTCAATCCACAATCATTCATCAATCTAAAATAGGTTTCAGCCCCGACACAATCACAAACACATTATAACCACATCCCTTCAGGCTACCGACAAATTCAAAACCGAACTTAACAAATCTAATAAATAGGATTCGATCCCAATGACCAAATTAGAGTCCAAAAATATATTTTATCTCGCAGTTGCACCTGGGTGAGACCCGGGTTTTTTAAATTGGGTGGGTCAAGTAGAGGAGGAGAGGAAAAGTTTGCAAGTCGTTTCGTCGATCTCTCGTCCCGATCCACGAAGTCAAGCAGACCTTAATTTGAGAGTTGACCAGCTAGCTTAGAGAATGGACGACCAAAGCAATCTGATGAGGTAGCTCCTCAACCAAATAAGCCTGGCTCAAAACCTTGGCCTTGGACAATTGGGCGAAGAGAGAATGATGGGACGAACGCGCCGATAGGCAACTCGACGAGTACCAAGCAAGTCGAGCAGGAATGAGCAGACAAGGCGAGGGATAACAACGTGATCGGCCTGCTGACATGTCGCAAGCATCTGCAAGCCACACTTAGAGCAGATTGAGTTTAAGGAACAACGTGCACAAAAGGTTGGGCCCACGACTTGACATCCGCGCCAACTTGGGCCTGCAGGGAAATGTACATCAAAGGCTAGGCCCCTAGGGAGGTCAACTAGACAACCATCGCAACAAGGATCGTGAAGAAAGGCGCTCAGCTGTCCACTCGCAGAGGAGCATTCATGAAAGGCTAGGCCCTAAGGGTGGTCAATTGGACAACCCCCACAATGAGGACCATGAGGAAGGGCGCTTCGCTGCTCACTCTTGAAGAGTTGATTCTCGTCGACAAGCTACAAAAAATCCTTCGCAAGCACAGTCCACCAACACGCCGCCTAAGCAGTGCAGGCGAGAAGGTCGACACTCGCAAATCAACGAGGAAGTCAATCAGCATCGCCCAAATTGCGAAGATCGCCAACGTGATCGACCAGCAATGTGTGCGGAAGACGTTGAGAAGCTTGTGAATGACCAACTTTGAGACTTGAAGACCGGCAGGAATTTCGAAGACGCACTACGTAAGGAGATGGACCAGGCGAACTCTATGCCCTTCACCCTCGAAATCAAGCAGGCTGCTTCCCCGAAGAGATTCTCAACGCCTTCGTTTACACACTTCAAAGGGGATTAAGATCCCGAGAGCCACCTAAAACATTTCAAAAATGTCATGATCCTCCACAAAGGTCGACGACGCACTGATGGGCAAGGTGTTTGCGATGACCTTGCGAGGAGCAGCCCAAGACTGGCTTCACACTCCGCCATCCTGGTTGATCAGCATTCATAACATTGAAATGTTGCGTTGTGTTGTGATATAATCAATCAATTGTTGGTCTTCAAACCCACAAGGGGCCTAAGCCTCTCAGTCAGATTTTGCATAATGGATATTTCTTTAAAGAACAATCTATTGAATCTCATAATATGCAGAGATCATAATCTTCCAAAAGCCACAAGATACCTCAATTTTTGAAATTCTTGTTACAATAATTCCTCAAAAGCTCCTTCACCCAGCCAAGTTTCAACCCCGCATTTATAACATTGTAGCAAATTCACAATTAGACCATTCAAACCAACAGGAAGAGAAACTAAAAAGAAAATCGTTCCAATTATGGTAGCAAAACTCACAAGACAGAAAATAATCCCCAAGTTACTGATCCTCTACAAATGAATGGTGTTGTCAAACTCCGACAGATACTGTTTGAATGCATCTGGATTTCCAGTTTCTATTAAATCCATTCCCATCCTGTCCAAACCCTCAATAGATTTGTGTACAGAAAATAGAGAGTGAGACCCGCCAGGAAACAAGAAATCTAAATTAAAAAAACGTCATTCAAGTTTTCCAAAAATAGGCCGCCTAGGCAGGACCTTTCAAAAAAAACAAAAAAAAAAAAAAAAAAAAAAAAAAAAAAAATGGCCGGGCGGCTATACTCTTTAAATAATGTATAGCATAGTAAAAAACAGTATCGCCGCGCGGCTATACCTTTTCGACACGTGGAATAGGCGCAAGTCGCCAAGCGGTGGGCTTATTTTTAATTATAAATAATATAGCCGTGCGGCTATACTGGGTGCTGTTTTAAAATAAAAATAGTATAGCCGTTCGGTTGTACTTGGATTTTTTGACACGTAGCGAAGTAGCGCTAGAAGCCCGGCGGTTGTCTTTTTTTAATTATAAATAGGATAGCCGTGCGGCTATACACGGATTTAAAAAAATATATAGCCGAGCGGCTATACTAGAGTTTTTATTATAAAAATAGTATAGCCGCCGGCTATATCCTTTACATAAAACTTGATTTTGGGCTGAAATTTATTATACATTTCATTTTGACGATAGTAAATGAATTCCTTGTGATCTCTCAACGACGTCGTGTTGACAACGATCTCTCTCTCCTACTCCCAGTCGTGCCTGCGGAAACGCTATCAGTCCTTGTAGGGTTTTTTTTTGACAGAAAGAGCTCGGAACCTGAGAGGTGTAATGGTGCGGTGGGTTCCGTAAAGAGCACCATAACAACGATAAATGGAAAACTCAGACTCTGACGAGCAAGAGAAGAAGAGGCCTCATTTAAACTCACTTTCGCCCACCATGGCTCGTAGCTCCACCACTTCTCCACCCAATAACCATAGCGTAATCCCTCTCTCTCTCTCTCTCTCTCTCTCTCTCTATATATATATATATTTACAGTCTGCTTGGTTACTGATGGAAAAATGCTTTTGATCAAATTTTTTGGTTTAAGAAAAAAAAGGTGTTTTATTTTTTTTAAATTACTGTGATTGATGGGTGATTGGAGTTTGGGCAATTTCTGCTTTGGATGTGCTTTTGAGAATTTGAAAAATTGTACTATGCTCTGTTTGGTTGTCGAGGAAGTGTAAGAAAAGGGATATAAGTTACAGAATTGGAATTTTTGGAGTATAGGGTGTAGGTTAGAGGGTTTCTGTTTATTAATTGTGTAATTGGGGCAGTAAAGCATCATTAATCTCTAAGCTGATGAAGTCACTTCTGAAGTTAGTATGCTTTTTCATAAAAAAGCATGCATTTAGATGAGTGCACATTGATAGTTCAATGCATTTCAAGTACACTTCAATTTTGATTTGAGATAGGAAGTAGATTGAAATGTATCGGTATTTTGTGTACGTACTATATGTGCCCAGGTCGATGCAGCAGTTCTCCAGTACCAGAACCAGAGACTTCTTCAGCAAATAGCTAGACAAACAGAAGCATGTTTTTCTTGTGATTCTCAGATGCTATCATCCAGTTACCTAAGATTGATGATATGATGGAGAGGGAGGTTAAAAATCTGCGGGAAGCGATTGATATTCTTCACGTGAAGCAGAAAGAGTATGCTGATGTAATTCGGACTTACCTTAGCAGCCAGTCAACAGATCAGTCTGAAATTAGCCGCATTACAGGTTTCTGAGATGGTTATAGTCACAAGCCTTGGTTTTTTATATGCATATTTAGTAGGAATGTTTAATCCTACACTTGATTACTGACGGCACTTATGTAGTTTTTGTTTTTGTTTTTCATTTTTTCGTATTAGAAGAAAATTTGAACCTAGGATCTACAGTTCAGCCCATCCAACCCATGTCACTTGAGCTAAGGCTCGTGGCAGTACATGTAAAGATTCAGCATCATATTTAAGACCTATAGATTTAGGAACTTTGCTCAATTTCTGACAGAGAGGTAAGTCTGAAAGTTTACCACTGTTTGGTGATGCCACCTTTTGATTTTGTGTTGAATATGTAAATTTTCTGTTATGGGTGACAGGTGAGCTGGATGACAGCATGACTGAACTAGAGGAGAGTAGGGGGAAACTAGTGAATCTGAAAATGCAAAAGGAAGTCGCATCTGGGATGCATAACCTTACTTCTGGTGCAGTGAATGGAACCTATCACCTGAAAAATCAACAGAAGGGACAATAAGCTTGCGGGAACTAAGAAATTCAATCGAGGAAACAAAGGTATGGATAATGCCAAAACTCCTTTGTACCAGCTCCCATTCTCACTCTTTCGCTAAAACCCCAGATTGATGTATATGCAGAGATGCCAGACCCGCCAGGAAGAAGGAAATCTGAAAGAAAAAACTACGCCATTCAAGTTTTCCAAAAATGGGCCGCCCAGGCGGGCTAGGCGGGTCCTTTTTAATACAAATAAATAGTATAGCCATTCGGCTATACTACTTAAATAATATATTCAAAAAGTCCTTAAATAATATTTAAACAATATAGCCGTTCGGCTATACCCTTATTTGGTTATTTATTTTAAAATTAAAATTAAAATTTTTTCCTGCGCCAGATTCATTCTTTCTTATGGAACGGATGTGCCTAGCTGCCATTGCCAATCAGTGTCGTTGGCCAATTGCGACTAGTGTAAATTTCGATGTACACCCGTTTCTCACCTAAGTTTTAAGTTCACTATATGGTTTTGGAACATGGCCAAAAACTTGAGAATTAAAACTTAAAATCTAAGCTCAATATCCTAACATATCAACTTTGTCAAGAATGGTGTGCACTTAAAATCTAAGATCCATACCCCAAACTCTGTTGAGGATGGAGTGCAACTTTTATTTCGCTTTGCCATCTCTCACCAAGAGCCACTTTTTTGTATGAATATATTGACAGGATTATTACACAATTATGATGGGTAGAGATCGAGTCCAGATGATCTTGATCACATTTCAACCTTGTCACTTGAGCCAAAACTCACAAATCTCTCTTTGACAAAGAAGAAAAGGGTCGGGACGATTGATCGGGATCACTAGTTATAAGTTTGGGCTCTAGTGGGATTGAATCTCTAACAAAAATTAAAGATAAACAATACATGATCTGATCTGCAAATAAATATAAGAAATCGGAGGGTATCCATTATTAGTGGCAATCTACAAGCAGGAGGAACCCTATGAGGGTTCATGAAATGCATATTTATACTTGAGTTAAACATCAAATAGCATCACCATCAACTCAATATGAAATAGAAATAACAAGGATATCTTTAGGACTTTCGTCATGATGAACTCAATAAATAGCATCACCCTCGAAATCGAAAAGAAAAAAGTACATAAATTCATAATCACCAACGGATAATGAAAAATTGTTAGTTAAATTTAGTGATAATCTGAATGTTTAATCAACTAAAGGCAAAAGAACAAAGGAAATTGCCATACTGTAAGATTAGTGCTGACTGCTACCATTCCATATGCTTTGCAACTGCATCAAGCCTGAAATTGTGGCATAGACAACATTAATTAGAAAGCACTATATTCACCCAATCCCTTCCCCCCACAAGACACTAGTTACGAATGGGCCAACCCCACCTCTGCCAATTTCTAAGGTTTCAGGCGTGGCACGTTGCGGTGAGTAGTCCAACAGTATCCCGTCAAACTCACAATTGAGTGTTATGTTTGTTTTAGGTGAACCTGGAGATGCTACTAAGATTGAATCCCGTACTCAAACTCATACAGATCCGACTATGGAGATCTAAACGTGAGTAGCTAAAACTCCAGCTTGATGTATTTGCAGACATGCCAGATCAGCCAGGAAAAAAGAAATCGGAAAAAAAAAGCCATTCAAGTTTTCCAAAAATCGGCCGCCTAGGCGGGGGGGATAGGCGGGTCCTTTTTGTTTTATTTTATAAATAGTATCGCCGAACGGCTATACGCTTGAAATTATATATTTAAGTATGGCCGCGCGGCTATACTCTTGGGTTGGAACTAAGTTTTATTCTTCCAAAAATGACACTCACATTTTTCCTCTTAACCAGATTTGACGTCTCCAATATGTCAATATGAAATAGACATAACAATCGCTATGCGACAAAGATCTATTTCCAGATCAGAAAGCAAAATTTCCTTGAGGCCATTGACAACTCAGAACATTTTTTTGAAGCTTCTTATAATCTATACATAAACAATCTTAAAAAACACCATGTTCTGCATGTTTTTGTCCATTCTTGACAGCAATTGTCGCTCCAAGGCATTAGATAGACTCATGAAGGATCTCAAAGTTTTTGCCGAAGGTAATGAGGAGCTGTTCAAAGAAATGCATCAAATGTGTATGGGTTCAATCCAACAGGGATCATACGGCACTCTCTATGTGTGGAGATATAATGTCTCAATCAGATTTTGCATAATGATGGCATATCTACAGAGAATTTATTCAATAATGGATATTTCTTTAAAGAACAATCTATTGAATCTCATAATACGCAGAGATAATAATCTTCCAAAAGCCACAAGAGACCTCAATTTCTGATATTCTTGTTACAATAATTCCTCAAAAGCTCCTTCACCCAGCCAGTCATGGCCAAAACCAAAAGTTCCAGCCATCTATATAAACAGAAACCAAAAGGCATAAAAGTAAGACAATTTGTAACAGTTGTAAGTGAAAACAATAACCGACAGCTAGTCAACATGCTAATCTAACGATTCCAGAGTACAGCCGCTATACTCTACACTCTTGAACATTCAACATAGTTTCAGCTGTTGTAAAGGTCTTCAAAACTACCACAACTGCAAATATCAAAAGAATTATGTATGCCAAAAGTATTTTTCAAAAACGGAGTACTGCCACTCTTTATGGGCCATGCTCGCCACCAAACATTGGGTTAATCTTTTCTTTGAGGGATGCAGCCTGCATTGTCCAAATCCGGTTATTAAAACCCTTTTCATTGATCGTGTTTGTGAATGGCTGTTTGTCTTTGTCTCTATCGACTGGGAACAGTTTGCAAGTAAGATATGCTCTGGTAAACTGAAATTCTTTTCGTATTGGTCCTCATTAACCAAGGTTTCCTGCTCATCATCCATACTAGCTGATTTTCTTTTTCTATTTTTAAACTAGATTTTGTTTAGTCTTTCCGGTTTCTTCTAAGATTGCTCTAACCTTCTGTATTTAGCCTTCACAAGCAACATCAAATCCATTTCCAACTTCTTCTGCTGAGCCAAAAATTTATCTGTAACACAAGATGCACTCTCCGGGAGCAGTATCTCTCAATGCTGCAAAGAGCCCAGGTATTTTATTTTAGATCTTCAAGTGATGTTGTTGGGTACTGGTACCCTCTAATTTATGTTTGAAATGTGTCGTCATTTTACACATTGCATAGTTGTTATTATTAACCTTCGATTAAATTTTTGTGGCTACAGCTATAGAGGTTATTGACTATCCATTCCAAAAAAATGTTCTCTCTGATTTTGGATGAGGTAATCTGAATCAATTTTATGTACAGAATTATATAATTATAGAACTTCTGTATCTTGACCCTGGTTTTCTTTCATTTGTTTAGGTAAAATCAACTGTCACTGATCTTGGCCAAAGTCACCTGTCCGCGGTTGCCATACCCAATGTTTTGCCCACAACTTTTGCCCTGACACTAAATGAGGGCTCATGTCCAATGAGCATGGATTTTCATCCCACTTGGCGGACTCTTCTTCTATGTGAAGTAATGAGAAACTACGTTTTTTTTTTTCTTCTTTTTTTCTCCCATCGTTTATAAATTTCCTGTCTTTTTAGAATGATCGTGTGCAGTAACTAGTTTTTATAGTTCACTCGTGAATCCTGCTAATGTGATTCTTCAGTCGGAACCTGGGGGTGTTGGAGACATAGGACTATGGGATGTTAGTTCAGGGAAAAAGTTGCTTTCAAGAAATTTTAGAGTCTGGAATCTTGATGCAGGCCCAATGGCCTTAAAGGTGCATCTGCTTCTGGATTACGTACTACTTTCTCAACCTTACTGATATGATCCGAAATTTGAACCAATGTCAATTATTTCAGGAAGCTCTGGTCAAAGATTCATAAGTATCTGTTAATCGTATCCGACAGAGTCCTGATGGTTCTATATTTGGTGAGAATGTTCTCATACTTAAAATGGTATGGAGTTGCTGATTTTCAGTTCTTGTAGTTCATATTCACTGCCGTTGTGTTCTTCAATGAACTGGGGTTCCATATGCAAAGCGCATTGTGCAATTATATTCTTATAATGGAGGCAACAACAATTAGAAGTAAGTTATGAAAAAGAACACAAATTCTCAAGGAAACTGCAACTTTTGAGTATGTGACCCATCATTTTTCTTACGTAGATTGATGCTCACTTAGGAAGTGTAAATGATTTTGGCATTCTTTTCCCCTCACGACCAACTTTTGGTCATAACATAGTAACCAGTACTGTGTTGTCTACTGGACTGCTGATCCTGGGCCTAACCCTGCTATTATATGTGAGGAAGAACCAGCAACAAATATATGGTAAGCTATTTGATTTTCTACTCTTCTGCCCCTCCATCTTCTAAGATAGGTGGGTTCAGTTCTATAGAAAATGTTTGCTGTTGCCTCTCGGGTTTCCCTACAGTTAGCTTGACAGTTTCCACATGTCATTTGTGTCAGGACTAAGGTGGTGTAATTTTATTTATTTATTTATTTATTTTTTCTGTTGTTTCGTGGGTTGGTTTTGTGTTCCTATGCAAGAGGAGGAGGAGGAGACAAATCTTTCTTTTTTTTTTCTTTTTTTTTCTATCAGCAAACAAGAGGGCATGATCAAATGTCAAAATCTATAACAGAAATGCAATATCCAAAGAATGAAAAGCAGTCCAACCAAGAAGAACCATCAATGGATGAATATTGAATGCATAAAGATTTATCAAGTTTCAAGCAAGAAGAACCAAACCAGAAATAAATAGTCAGAATTTGAGATTGGGGCCTAAAAACCGAACCTTGTTATTGGCAAGACCATAGAAACTCCATGTTAGGATAGCTTCATCATTTCCTTCCACCGAAGACAGACACCAAGTCAGCAAATTTTGTATTTAGGGTTCCCATGACTTGTGCTTGCTTCGGCTTCCAAATCTCAATCTCAAGCTCAAATTTGCAGGTAAACTTTTTCAATTTCGGGTTGCAGACTTTCAGTCAATCGCAGTGTTCAAAAAATGGGGCTAGGCGGACGGCTAGGCGGCTAGGCGGGCGCTAGGCGGCTAGGCGGGGGCTAGGCGGCTAGGCGGGCGCTAGGCGGCTAGGCAGGCGCTAGGTGGCTGGGCGGGCCTCCTAGGTGGGTTGGGTCATTTTCCGGTGCCGAACAAGGAGGACGAAGCAGCCGAAACTTGACTGCGTCTGCAAGCTCCGTCCTATGCCAGTGCAAGCTTTCGTGTTTGTTTCAAATGTATTCAAAGAGTATAGCCGGTCGGCCATACCCTTAAAATATTCAAATATATTAATATTTAAAGAGTCTAGCCGCCCGGCTATACTTTTAAAATATCCAGATGTGTTTAGAAAGTAAAGCTGCGCGGGGCTAGAGTTATTACTTCAATTATTTTATTTATACATGCGATATATTTAAATTCTTTCTAATACCTCCCATTCTAATGATTTCCAGCTATTAGCCCATCGGCAAGAATAAAAAATGAATTTTATTTATAACAAATAATATAGGTTAAACCCACAAATACAACGACAACAACAAAATCCCTCAACATTTTGTGGATCAAAGGATGTTGAATTTCATAGTATAAAATTGCTTGTATAGCAATTTACTTTCTTGAAGAAAAATTGGATACAAAACAGTCTAACGAGACAACGAAGAGAAGTTTGCAGCTCTGTTTTGAAATTTATTGAAGGTATCAGAGGTCATATGACATTGATATATGAACCATTCAAAATGAGAATTCAAACAACATGTGTTACATGAGAAGTAGCATGTCATTCTTAAATATAACATATTACTTCATTTGTCTACTGGTTGTGCCTGTTGTTAAGCTGGTGCAACCAACATTTTTTCACCAAGAAACTTTTCTTGAACCATAAAGAAATTTAGCTAGGACAACCTTTGGTGGTTAGGGAAAGTTAAGATAGAAACAGAGGCAGAGGCAAGGTTGAAGAACAATCGCGAGCACATGTGATATTACAAAAAATGTAGCGAAGGAATTTAGAATGGCCATTTTCCAAATTAAGCACATATCTTATAATGAAATCAAGATAGGAACTTATAACAAGCCCTCATTAGAGTACAGTGTCCAAAAACACAAGATGAACACCACACCACTCCACACTCAACACACATAATTGCTCTTCAATTTTGTAAATATAAAAAAAGATGAGATATCGCTTAGTACAATCAAATAGTTCTTCATTCCTCGTCGCCCAAATCATTGAACGCATCAAAAAATCATTGAGCATTTCATCCCACGTTTCCTACACATGCACATGAAATGAGTATCCATCAACAAGAAGAACAAAATTGTCCATACCAAGAAGAAATTAAAGAAATTTAGAATCCTTTCGCACATAAATTTACTAATATGAGACGCAAGCTTTGATATTTCATCGTTGTTCTCATCGAAACCAGAACAATCTCTAACGTCCAACATCACCAAACCTTTGCATTCGCGTAGCAACGTGACAAGACCATCCCGATTAACTTTTGCACCCTTCAAATTTAAGTACTTGATATTAGGCACCAACTTCACAATTGACAATATGCCTCACGCCCATGAACAGAGACTTTGGACAAATCTAAACCATAAAAATTCTTGCAATGTTTTTGTATAATTTCAAGTATTGTGGCCAAATTTAAGTATGAACCCAATGATAACACCTCCAAATTTTCCACTTGCCAATCAGCTCTAGGTTCATGTGTTTGCTGTCCAATAAATTTACTGGTAAACTCGAAGCCACAAGGCCAGGACACCTGCACACATTCCACAACAACAAAAATGCTACATTTACATTTACAAGGAAAATTAAACTGGGTATACTTGAGGGTATGATCAAATGTCAAAATCTATAACAGAAATGCAATATCCAAAGAATGAAAAGCAGCCCAACCAAGAAGAACCATCAATGGATGAATATTGAGTGCATCAAGATTTATCAAGTTTCAAGCAAGAAGAACCAAACCAATCAATCTATTGCTTAACAAACCATAAACAAATAGTCAGAGACCGAACCTTGTTATTAGCAAGACCATAGAAACTCCATGATAGGATAGCTGAAGCGCTCAGGATCTTGTGGGGAAGGCATCATCGCTTCCCCGCCGAGAAGTCTCTCAAGTTGTCTTCGATCTGTAAAGAGATACTATCATATGTCAAAAGGGCACCTAGGGATACTTAACACAAGAATAGGGGAAGAAACCATTCTTATGTACACTGGCATTACATGTAGGATAATCTCCCGAGTCTCAAGTACCTCTGTGTTAGATTTGATGGGGGAGATGGAGCCTCAATGGAGAAACTTTTTTCTAAATGCCCCATACTTGAAGATTTGACTATACTCAGGAATTTTAGAGTTGATTCAAAATCTCTGCCCCTGAATTGAAGACAAGCATCACAAATACTAGAAATAATTGTACGTTCCAACTCTTCATCAATTCCCCAAAGCTTGAAAACCTGATTGTCGATGTCTTCAGTTGGTGCTCATATGCCATTTTATGTTTTCTAAAATCCGCAGCCAAAATTCGTCCCTATAGGCTTCCAGTAGGTGAAAGTCTAGCCTGTGATTACCTTGTGCCTCCGTTTACTATAGGAATTTCCAATGTTACGTATCTTTCTCTTCTAGCTTCTAGTTTGGATGGTTTATTTTTGCCTGCTATCTTTAAACATTTGAAATAGTTGGAGCTTGGACTCATTCATTATGGTTACTGGACATTGCTCATAGAATATATGAACCGATCACCTAATCTAGAATCTCTTATCCTAGACCTTGATAGTATGTTGAACCTTGATAGAATATATGTGCTTACTTGTTTGTCTTCACACATTAGGATAATCTTCATGAAGGGGTTCCAAGGTAAATGTGATGAGATGGATGCGACTAAGTATTTGTTTGAAGTTCAGTTTGGTTATGAATAAAATGACTGTTTCTACTGCTACTATTGCTGGTGTTGTTACTCCTTCCATTCCCAAAATAAGAGATATACAAGGAAATTTTAATGTTTGAATGTGGTTTAGAGAGTTGCCATGTTCAAGTTCTATGAGATGCAATGAATGTCTCGGTTTCACATCAATTCAAGGATTTCTCCGAGTTCGTTCTATACTTTCTGAGTTTGAAAATGCCAATTTCATTTGTTTCTTTCACTCATCTGTTAGATTAAAGTGGAGATTATATTAATAGTAATTTAATCCAACTTATTTTGGAACTTTGAATTTTCTGTACAACTCCATGATCTTTTTTTGGTCATTGAATTGTTGGTTTTCTTGCTGTCGTGGAACTCCAACAATTTGACAACTTTTACATGTCGATATTTTAATTTTCAATTTGGGGTTTCAGACTTTCAGTCAATTGCAGTGATAAAAAAATTGGCCTAGGCGGGCTCTAGGCTGCTAGGCAGGTTGGGTCTCTTTTCGGTGCCGAGCCCGGAGTACGAAGTCTCAATCTTTACTTACATTGAAAGATCCCAATCCAATCAAATCAACGCAGCAGCCGAAACCGAAGAAAAAAAAATCAAAGCTTGAGTTGAGAGATAGGCTCAAGACCGAGTCTTTGAAGCTTGGAAACGGCTGTGACTCCGACTGCAAGCTTCATGTTCTTTTCTCTGTCCCTAAAACGTGAATATTTTTAAAGAGTATAGCCGCTCGGCTATACGTTTTTAATTTTTAAAATTTTAAAGTGTATAGCCACGCAACAATACCTTTGAAATGTTCAAATATATTAAAAGAGTATTGCTGATACTCTTTAAATATACAATTTTGTCATATGATTTTAGGGTTTAGGGCTAAGATACCACTTTAGCCCATTGGGCTTGAGTTATTCATTCAAGGCTTAATTATGTACATGCCCCCTGTGCTTTCCAACTTATCTCAGATTACCACCTGTGTTTGAAAACGTCTCAAAGTACCCCCCAACGTGCAAAAAACCGTCTCACGTTACCCTTTCCGTCAGTTTTTTTGAAGTTCCGTTACGAACGTTACTGTTCATCTCCCCCAAAATTCCAGAACAGCAGCTCCTCCCATTTGTTACTGTTCATCTGACCAGTTTTTGGGCTGCCATCGTCTCCTCCGGCCACCCCAAGCGACGACATGGATATCAAAAGAACCAGCACGTTGTCCTCTACCACCCTCACATCTCAGCCGCTACCAACCGTCGTCTGGATCACCGAAAAAAGCAAGAAATTGGCCGGTTTTTTACCCAAAATCTCCATTGCTCGTTCGGGCTATTCCGAGCATCATTTTCTTCGATCCAGGTATGATTTTTCAACCTCTCGAGTTGTTCTTGCTGCTAGTTGTGTTGGTTAGGAGAAATTTCTGAGTTTTGGAGGGTAAATAAGCGATGAACAGTAACAAAGGGGAGGGGCTACTGTTCTGAAATTTTGGGGGAGATGAACAGTAACGTTCGTAACGGAACTTCAAAAAAACTGACGGAAAGGGTAACGTGAGACGGTTTTTTGCACGTTGGGGGGTACTTTGAGACGTTTTCAAACACAGGTGGTAATCTGAGATAAGTTGGAAAGCACAGGGGGCATGTACATAATTAAGCCTTCATTCAATTACTTCATTTATACAAGTGATATTAGGGAATAAGAATTTAAATTCTATCTGATACCTCACATTCTAATGATTTCCAGCTATTAGCCCATTGGGCAAGAATAAAAAATGAATTTTATTTATAACAAATAATATAGGTTAAACCCATAAATACCAAAAAAAGAAAAAAAAGAAAAGGATTTGCCAACATTTTGTGGATCAAAGAATGTTGAATTTCATAGTATAAAATTGCCTGTATAGTAATTTACTTTCTAAATTGTATCCATCGTAATTACGAACTAAACCCAATTATAGCATTTTTCTTATTGCACTTGACAACCCTGCTCTTCTGCTACGAGATATATCAGTTTGCGCGGCTATACTTTTAAAAAGTTCAAATGTGTTTAAAGGGTATTGCCGTGCGGCTATACTGTTAAAATATTGGATAATTTTGCTTTTAGCAATTTTGAATGTGCCTTGGAAACATCATTCACAGTATGAGAGCATACAATTGCCAGGTTTGCTATTCGGATACTCTGTCAGAGCATCTCCAGGAGAGTCTCCAAATTTTACCCAAATTCTAGTTAAAATAGCTAACCACTTAAAAGGTGGTTCCTCCAGCAATGCTCTCTATTTTAGCTAACCTCAAATATTTATTATTTTAAATTCATTAAAAAAATTTAAAGAAATAACTCAAAATCAAAAGTAGCCCACCACCGAACCTTTCTTTTTCTTCTCTCTCTCTCTCTTTCCCTCTCTCTCTTGCGCATCTTCTAGCTTTTTCCTCTCTCTCTCTCTCTCTCTCTCTCTCTCTCTCTCCTTCACTTGCGCAGCTTTCAGATTTTGTGAGCCTTGAATTTCTCTCTCCTCTTGCTAGATGTAGTGAGCCAAAATGGCGAGATAGGTAGCGAAGCTGCCGAAGCGCTGTTTTTCCTTCTTTTTCGCTAAAATACCAAAATTTCCTCGAGGCCATTGACAAGTGAGAACATCATTTTTTTTATGCTTCTTATAATCTATACATAAACAATCTTATGAAATAAGAACTATGTTCTGCATGTTTTTGGTTCATTCTTGACAGCAATTGTCGCTCCAAGGACTTAGATACCCTCATGAAGGATCTCAAAGTTTTTGCCGAAGGTAATGAGGAGCTGTTCAAAGAAATGCATCAAATGTGTATGGGTTCAATCCAACAGGGATCATAAGGCACTCTCTATGTGTGGAGATATAATGTCTATGATGAAGACTGATTCAAATTAAAAAAAAATCATTGGTCTCATCATCGACCTCGAGGGTCTTGCCATCTGTTGGTACTAAGCAATGAATCCCATCCTTTATCTACAATTAAGAATCATACAAAACATCAACTATACATGCAAAACCATACAGAAAAGATTAAATTTTTTACAGTCATTCGTGTTCAGCTCAACACATGACCTCTATCAAATACAAGGACATTATCAATTCTCACAAGAACAAGGACATTCTTCATGCTGTTCTCTGAGTTGTAATTGACATGTTGCAGGACATTCATTGGAGACGTGCTGCAGAGAAGGATTCAATCAACTGATATGTTGTATGGCACATTCGAATCATGATCCACTGGGGAAACAACAGGCGACTGCTGGAAATGATTACTGTTTAGATCACAGGAATTTGTTCTTGAGCGCTGCATTGTATCTCTGCATGGAAGGACTGGATAAACTGGAAAAATAAGTTCATTTCCTCCATTAGTCTGATTGTTCTCATCAGCCCCAGAAAAACAACAATCCATCAACTCAATAAACCTAAAAAATAATAAAATAAAATAAAAATTAGTCACAAAAAGAAACATGAATTAGTAACTGTTAATTAAAAGGTTCCTCTTAACCTTTGGTCTTCACTCAATTTCCAAATAACACAATAATCCTAGCCTTTCAAACCCACAAGGGGCCTAAGCCTCTCAGTCAGATTTTGGCATATCTACAGAGAATTTATTCAATAATGGATATTTCTTTAAAGAACAATCTATCGAATATTTCTTTAAAGAACAATCTATCGAATCTCATAATACGCAGAGATAATAATATTCCAAAAGCCACAAGAGACCTCAATTTCTGAAATTCTTGTTACAATAATTCCTCAAAAGCTCCTTCACCCAGCCAGTCATGGCCAAAACCAAAAGTTCCAGCCATCTGTATAAACAGAAACCAAAAGGCATAAAAGTAAGACAATTTGTAACAGTTATAAGTGAAAACAATTACCGATTACGGCTAGCCAACGTGCTAATCTAATGATTCCAGAGTAAAAAGTAGAATCCAACCACTTAATTAAACTACCCACATGCAAAACAAGAAGAAAAACAGATTCGGATCAAACACTTTCCTCAAATTACACCAACCAGTAGTGACACCAAAAAACAACAGATTATAATGCAACTGCAAGCCCATTCCCAGATCTTTAATATTGACTGATATGAAATCCACAATAACCAAGTCAAAATGGTACTCCTTAACGATATGGCATGAAAATTAGAAAATACTATCAAGTAAAGGAGCCAAGTTTCGACCCCCGCATTCATAACATTGTAGCAAATTCATAATCAGACCATTCAAATCAAAAGGAAGAGAAACTAAACAGAAAATAATTCCAATTATGGTAGCAAAACTCACAAGACAGGAAATAATCCCTAAGTCAGCAAATTTTGTATTTAGGGATCCCATGACTTGTGCGTGCTTCGGCTTCCAAATCTCAATCTCAAGCTCAAATTTGCAGGTAAACTTTTTCAATTTCGGGTTTCAGACTTCCAGTCAATCGCAGTGTTCAAAAAATGGGGCCAGGCGGATGGCTAGGCGGCTAGGCGGGTGCTAGGCGGCTGGGCGGGCCTCCTAGGCGGGTTGGGTCATTCTTCTATGTTAAGTAATGAGAAACTACGTTTTTTTTTCTTCTTTTTTTCTCCCATCGTTTATAAATTTCCCGTCTTTTTAGAATGATCGTGTGCAGTAACTAGTTTTTATAGTTCACTCATGAATCCTGCTAATGTGATTCTTCAGTCGGAACCTGGGGGTGTTGGAGACATAGGACTATAGGATGTGTTAGTTCAGGGAAAAAGTTGCTTTCAAGAAATTTTAGAGTCTGGAATCTTGATGCAGGCCCAATGGCCTTAAAGGTGCATCTGCTTCTGGATTACGTACTACTCTCTCAACCTTACTGATATGATCCGAAATTTGAACCAATGTCAATTATTTCAGGAAGCTCTGGTCAAAGATTCATAAGTATCTGTTAATCGTATCCGACAGAGTCCTGATGGTTCTATATTTGGTGAGAATGTTCTCATACTTAAAATGGTATGGAGTTGCTGATTTTCAGTTCTTGTAGTTCAGATTCACTGCCTTCGTGTTCTTCAATGAACTGGGGTTGCATATGCAAAGCGCATTGTGCAATTATATTCTTATAATGGAGGCAACAACAATTGGAAGTAAGTTATGAAAAAGAACACAAATTCTCAAGGAAACTGCAACTTTTGAGTACGTGACTATAAACCCAACCCATCATTTATCTTACGTAGATTGATGCTCACTTAGGAAGTGTAAATGATTTTGGCATTCTTTTCCCCTCACGACCAACTTTTGGTCATAACTTGTGCTGATGACAAGACCGTCAAGGTTGGTTTCATTATTGTATGTTTAAGGTTTGGGATATATTTTGTAGCCAAAGACAGTTTACTTTTGAAGGTCATGAAGCTCCGTCTATTCTGTCTGTCCTCATACCAAATAAAATGTCCATGTAAGGGCCACTTTGGGTATTGATGTTGTGGTTCTGGTGAAGTTTTTGTTCTGAATCATCTGATTTACTTTCCGGTTCCTGCAATATATTATCCAACACTTGTTTTCATGCTTCATGCCGCAGTTGTCTTTTCAACATCGGTGGATGGCAAGATCAAAATATGGTTATATGATAGCTTTGAAGGCAGTGCTGCGCCAAACTGGCTCATAGTGCTGATGTTCAAAGGTTCAACTTATATGGCCTGCGATTGCCATCTTTTATTTCCTGATTGATATCTTTGGGTGAATATAGTAATGTTAGTTTTGATTGAGATCATGTAGCCTTTTTTTCATGTGGGATCAGCCAAGGAGGGAAACAATTAGAGCCAGGAGCGACCAAGTGTAAAAACATGGATTTGTTTTTTTGTTTTTGATATTAAGAGAGATTACATGAGCCTCAACTAAACCAACATCTTCCATTGCAAAAATGCGAAGAGTGAACATTGAACTCCTATCAAAGACTTTTTTTATATTTATTTTGTTCGAACTACACAAATATAAGAAATCCAGGCCTAGATTTCTTCTTTATGTCTTCTTTATGAATTTCTGACTCCTCAATCTTCTGCTTTCAAATACTTCATTCCTGGTCCTAGATCGAGGACACATACAAAGATCATAGTAACCAGTACTGTGTTGTCTACTGGACTGCTGATCCTGGGCCTAACCCTGCTATTATATGTGAGGAAGAACCAGCAACAAATATATGGTAAGCTATTTGATTTTCTACTCTTCTGCTCCTCCATCTTCTAAGATAGGTAGGTTCAGTTCTATAGAAAATGTTTGCTGTTGCCTCTCGGGTTTCCCTACAGTTAGCTTGACAGTTTCCACATGTCATTTGGGTCAGGACTAAGGTGGTGTCATTTTATTTATTTATTTTTTCTGTTCTTTCGTGGGTTGGTTTTGTGTCCCTATGCAAGAGGAGGAGGAGACAAATCTTTCTTTCTTTTTTTTCTTCTATCAGCAAACAAGAGGGCATGATCAAATGTCAAAATCTATAACAGAAATGCAATATCCAAAGAATGAAAAGCAGTCCAACCAAGAAGTGCTAACAGTATAGAAAATAGAGAGAAGAACAGAATAATACTTGAGAGAAAACCAGAGGAGTATACTCAGAAAAATGTTATTTAAGAAGAAGATTCCAGAGATATGTAGCCACTCAGACTTTATATACAGCAGAGCTGTGCTTAATCTCTAAGTAAGCTCTGTAACTAACTCACATGTATATTACAGCTGTTACAGCTGTGAGCTACACGTGATAAACCCACGTGGCTTAGTTAATAACAGATAGCTAACCAATTCTAGAAGCTAAGCTAACTAATTCTTATTTTGGTAAACATCCCCCCTCAATCTCAGCTGGGATACCCAGTCTGAGATTGATACAATGTTTAACAAACACAGGACCATGTAAACCCTTGGTAAAGACGTCTGCAATTTGCTCTTCAGTAGGAATGTACTGCACCATGATATCCCTACGTTGAACTCGTTCTCTAATAAATGAAAGTCTATATCCAAATGTTTTATCCGAGAATGTTGCACAGGATTTGAACTGAGAGCTAAGGCAGAAAGGTTGTCACAGAAAAGTAATGGAGGCTCAGGAAGATACTCATGTAAATCAGCCAAGACTTGTCGAACCCAAGCAATATCAGCAGCTGTATTGGCAAGAGCCCTATACTCGGCTTCCGTAGAGCTCCGGGAAACTGACCCTTGCTTCTTAGATTGCCAAGACACTGGATTTGAACCAATGAAAACTACAAAGCCTGTTGTAGATCTGCGAGTAGATGGATCTCCTGCCCAGTCTGCATCACTGTAAGCATGAAGGTGCATATCACCAGGAGAGAAGGTAATACCATATGCCATAGTACCTTGTATATACCCTCAAGATGCGTTTAACCAACAAGAAATGAGTCTCAGAAGGATTTGTCATATATGGCAAACAGTATTCACAGAATATGCTAAGTCTGGCCTTGTAAAAGTCAGATACTGAAGAGCGCCAACAATGCTACGATATAAAGATGGATCGTTCAATGGTTCACCTTCAGTCTGAAGAACTTGTGTATAAGGCTTACAAGGTGTGGAACAAGCTTTACAAGTTGTCATACCAGCCTTTGCGAGTAGCTCCTTTGCATACTTTTGCTGACTAACAAAAATTGAACCTGTACTCAGATAAGAGATTTGTAAGCCCAAGAAATATGTTAACTGCCCCATGTCTTTCATTTCAAATACAGAACTTAACTCCTCAATTGTAGTTTGAACAAGACTTGTACTGGAACCCGTAAGGATAATATCATCCACGTATAACAAAAGAATAACTATTTCAGAACCTTCTTTCTTAACAAACAGGCTAGGATCAGACTGAGAAGCTGTGAAACCAATGGCAGGTAGGTATCCTGTGAATTTGGCATTCCATGCCCTAGGGGCTTGCTTTAAGCCATAAAGAGATTTGCGTAACTTGCAAACATATTGAGGATGGGTGGAATCCTCGAAACCTTGAGGTTGCTTCATATAGACTTCTTCCTCAAGATCTCCATGTAAAAATGCGTTCTTTACATCCAATTGTCTTAATTGCCAACCATGCATAGCAGCTAAGCTAAGAATAAGCCGTACAGTCGTGTGTCTAACAACAGGGCTGAAGGTTTCTGAATAATCGAATCCCTGAGTTTGACTAAAGCCTTGAGCCACTAGCCGAGCTTTGTACCTAGACACATTTCCATCTGAATTTCTTTTCACCTTGTAAATCCACTTGCTACCAACTATATTCACACCAGGAGGAGGAGGAACCAGTGTCCAAGTACCCTGGGTATTTAAAGCTGAGATTTCCTCTTGCATAGCAGTGACCCACTCAGGAGAATACCGAGCAACTCTATAACTAGATGGTTCATCCAGTTCAGGCAGAGCAAGTAAACTAGTGTGATAACACTCATAATCTGTAAAATCTTTTCTTTTAGTGACACCAGACTTTGATCTGGTTTGCATAGAATGGTGATTAGTAGGAGAGATATCTGAAGCACTAGAGGAATCAAGACTAGGAAACAACACATCCAATTGTTGATGAGTAAGAGTTGGCAGAACAGTGGGAATTGGCTCTTGATCATGAACAACAGATGGAGAAGAGAAGTGTGATGTTCTTGGGCCTAAGGGAGAAGACACAGAGGCAATAGGAATAGGAGGAATGGCTGGAGGATCAGATAACGGAGGAGGAACATCTGCATGAGATAGGATAGGTAAAACAACAGAGATGGGTGCACTAGAGGTTGATGCAACCGAAGATGAAGATGAGCCTAAAACAGGGACGCCTTGTTTAAAAGGAAACATGCCTTCATCATGAACAACATCCCGAGACACAAGCAACTTGGCAGTAGACATATTGAAACAAAGAATGCCTTTGTATCCCATGAGGTAGCCTAGAAAAACACATAATGTAGTTCGAGCCTGAAGCTTGTTTTGATTGATGGATCTGAAACAGGGATACACAGCAGTACCAAAAATCCGTAAATGTTGAATATCTGGGTGTTGATGAAATAACCGAAAATAAGGAGACTTGTGATCAAGAACTTTGCTAGGCATGCGATTGATAAGATATATAGAGTGAGATATAGCATGAAACCAAAAGTGTTGAGGAAGAGAAGCCTCTGACAATAAGGTAATTGCAGTCTCAACCAGATGTCTGTTCTTTCTTTCGGCTAAACCATTTTGTTGAGGTTTGTAAGGACAAGAAAACTGATGCACGATGCCTTTGGAACTGAGAAACTCATGAAATCGATTGCTAACATATTCACCACCCCCCATCACTCTGAAAGTACTTAATAACTGCTGAGAATTGATTCACCACAAAAGCATAAAACTTCAGAAAGTGAGAGAACACCTCTGATTTTGCAAACATTGGATAGATCCAAGAGAAACCAGTGAACTCATCAATGAACGTAACAATGTATCGATATCCTTGAAAAGATTTACAAGGGGATGGTCCCCATACATCGCTATGAATCCGATGAAAGGGAGTTACAGCTTTATTATGATGAGTAGGAAATGGTAAACTATGCATTTTGCCACTCAAACAATATTGGCAAATGTGAGGGTGAGAATCGACTATGTGAGGTAAGCTAGCAGACTTAAGCATACTATGAACCACTTCATTAGTAGGATGTCCTAACCTACTGTGCCACAAGGAGAACTTGACCTGTTGTCCAAGATAAGCCACTTCATGAGAAGCAGCTTTATTAGGAGGTAAGGAGAAAGCAGCCACACCAGGAATCAGATAGAGGCCACTATGACTCCTCCCTGTGAGCAGCACCTGTTTGGTGACCTTGTCCTGTATAGAAAACCCAAACTGATCAAATATCATAGAGCAATTGTTCTCCTTACAAAGCTGATGCACAGACATCAAATTAGCAGTGAGTTTAGGGACATGGAACACATTAGACATGTGTAAAACAGAAGAGGAACTAGAAACGGAGGCATGACCAATATGAGCAACAGGCAAACCTTCCCCATTGCCAACTGTTACTCTATTCTCAGAAGCACAAGGCTGAGCAGACTCCAAAGTATTGACATTGGACACCATATGATGGCTAGCACCACTGTCTGCAATCCACAGAGTCTCAGGAGCATAGGAGACTTGAGCAGTCATAGCATTGAGAGTAGGTGGTGGAGGAGAGCCTTGATAGACATAATTTGAGCGATGATAACAATCAAGAGCACCATGGCCACGTTTGCCACAAATCTGGCACTCCACCACAGAAGAGGAAGGAGATGATGTAGAGGAAGGGTTGCGATAAAAGCAATTCACAGCAGTATGACCACGCTTAGAGCAGATTTGACATTCAGGTGTGATACCAGACCTAGGAAAACCACCGGATGGCCTCGGAGCAAAATAACCACCACGATTGGTAGGACGATGATTAGGAAACCTCCCACGACCAAAATTCTGAGAAGAAGGCCCATAGGCTGGAGAAGAGGTAGCCTGAAAACCGGAGGGAGTAGAAACAGAAGGCGGTGTAGGAAGAATACCAGCCCCTGGAGTTGGAGACATCGATGAACTATGGGCCAATCATTGCCGTCATAGGAGAAATAAGAGAGGAAGGACGTGACTCAGCAGCCTGTTCAGCAGCAAGGAGCTGCGTACGAAAATCCTTGAGAGAAATAGGTGTCTCACGAGCAACAAGCACAGTTCGAATCATATCATAATCGGAAGGTAAACCGTTCAAGACTGAAATCATAAGGTCATCATCAGAAATGGACACACCAGCAAGTGCAAGCTGATCACGCACATGCTTAAGACGAAGCAGAAACTTTTCAATGGAATCTGCCCCTTTCTGTGCAGTCTGAAGCTCTGTTTTGAGAAAATTGAGACGAGCTCGAGAGACAGTAGCATATCGATCGGTAAGACTGAGCCAAGCATCACGAGCGGTTTTGCTTCCGATAACGTACTCGATCGCGTCATCAGACAGAGTTGCAATTAGGAGACTGAGAAGCGCTTTGTCAAGCTTAAGCCAGTTCTTGTAGGCAGCCGTAACCTCAGAAGTGGCTACTTCTTCATCTACAAAGGCAAATTTGGGAGGAGGAACAACGGAGCCATCGAAGTGACCAAAGAGCTCATGTCCTTCAAGAACTGATTCAATTTGATACCGCCACTTCATGAAGTTATCATCATTGAGGCGAATCGTAATCAATCCAAGGAGACCATCAACCTTGAGAGAAGAAGCCATAGCTGAAAGTTTGAGGAAGAGACGAAAACGAAAGGTTTTGCAGATTTGCAATTGAAGAAAATTAGGGTTTGCAGAGGGTAGAATGGGGAAGAAAAAAAAACAAAGAAGAAGATTAGAAATGAAGTGTGGCAGAGATTAGAAGTGGAGAAGAGGAAGAAGAAGACCAGAGCAAGAAGGCGGAAGACAGAGAACTCAGGAAGATCGATAAGGCGTGAGCCACCAAGGGCGCTGATACCATGCTAACAGTATAGAAAATAGAGAGAAGAACAGAATAATACTTGAGAGAAAACCAGAGGAGTATACTCAGAAAAATGTTATTTAAGAAGAAGATTCCAGAGATATGTAGCCACTCAGACTTTATATACAGCAGAGCTGTGCTTAATCTCTAAGTAAGCTCTGTAACTAACTCACATGTATATTACAACTGTTACAGCTGTGAGCTACACGTGATAAACCCACGTGGCTTAGTTAATAACAGATAGCTAACCCAATTCTAGAAGCTAAGCTAACTAATTCTTATTTTGGTAAACAAGAAGAGAACCCCAAAAAAAAAAAAAAAAAAAAAAAAAAAAAAAAAAAAAAAAAAAAAAAAAAAAAAAAAAAAAAAAAAAAAAAAAAAAAAAAAAAAAAAAAAAAAAAAAAAAAAAAAAAAAAAAAAAAAAAAAAAAAAAAAAAAAAAAAAAAAAAAAAAAAAAAAAAAAAAAAAAAAAAAAAAAAAAAAAAAAAAAAAAAAAAAAAAAAAAAAAAAAAAAAAAAAAAAAAAAAAAAAAAAAAAAAAAAAAAAAAAAAAAAAAAAAAAAAAAAAAAAAAAAAAAAAAAAAAAAAAAAAAAAAAAAAAAAAAAAAAAAAAAAAAAAAAAAAAAAAAAAAAAAAAAAAAAAAAAAAAAAAAAAAAAAAAAAAAAAAAAAAAAAAAAAAAAAAAAAAAAAAAAACCCAAAAGCCAGAGAGACCAGCCCAAGACTCATCAAATCTGGGCCTCACAGGCCCAATATAAAGGGGAAGCCCAGAAATAGGGACAATCCCACGTGATATCTCTGAAAAAAAGAAAAGTCAGCAATGGCAACTGTCATAGGAGAAGTGATTGAAGGGTTCATGACATCAAGATCGATTCTGGAAAAAACTAAAGATCAAATCCCTCTTACACATATATATATATATATCAGAGATTTTTTTCTGTCTTTTCAGAGAAGGTAACTCTCCCAAGGAGATAAGCAAGTTACAATCTCAGAGAGGGATAAGCAGGAAAGCAGGAAGCTGTCCAGAAAAGAATCAAACTAACCATCACGGGCAAAATATCGCAAGGGGCAGTTGAAATTAGGCAAGAGTTTTTAAAGAAAAAAAAAGAGGGGAAGTGATTGCCTATTGTTGAGAACCTATCTACCAAAAACTGATGAAATCCCCTTTTTCTCTTTTCCATTTTTAAAGGAAGATCTTTTGAAAGGATTTGCCGCCCATTATTAAAAGAATTACCCTACTCCAGAAGACATTTCTTATAAATATGAGAAGGAGTGAACAGGGCAAGGACAATCAATCTTACAACAAAAATTTCATCACTCAACCAAACAAAGGTCCTACACAGGAAACCGTCACATAAACAAGCTCAGAGTCGACCAACAAGTCCACTTGAATTTCAAGTGAAAAACCAGTCCCAGATCAGAATGCCCAGAATCCAGACTTAGGAAGCAAGTCATTCAAAACGAGATTTCTCTCGTTACAAATTTGGTTCAGCAAAAACCAACACAAGCAGAGTTTGAGCCTCCTCCAAGTATGGAAAAACCCCAGCCAAATTCACGGAATAGCCTCTAGCTCACCAACGTCCTCAAGAACAGCCACTTCTGCCCCTTCAGACTGAAGAAACCGCAGTTCTGCCTACTCAGAAGCTTCGCAAAAGCTTGAGGTACATTAAAGCTCTGCCAGAATCAACCTTTGGCATCGATTTGTAGTTGAAAATCGGGCAATCAGAGTTGTCTACGATCCAGTCCAGCCCAGACATTCCCAGTCCAGCCCATCACAGAGCCTCCCATCCAGGCAGAAATGGAGATCTAGCTATCTTTTTATCTTTTTGGCATCGACATGTATTTTTGTAGTCTTGTAAAAGGCACTTCCGCCCAAAAACAGCTTAAATTTCATCGACTATTCTGGCCAGAACAACCTCTTTATACTGAGATAAATTGTTAAAGTCCTCACCAGTCTGAGGCAAGAAAAGAACTTACTTGGGAGATATTCCTCACCCAAATTCACAATCGTTTGTTTAGGAAATCAGTAACTTGGGGCGCAAGTTATCCATTCCAGACTAAGTCTGCTAGGCTGTTCATTACTAGCAGTGGCACGCTCGCACACCAAAGAAAGCTGACTTGTTGACCAGTCTATGGTTCTCAAGGCAGTGGGGAACTTTGCCCTTCCATCATAGGAGTAAACACAAAACGGGTGAACAATTTGGCACGCCCAGTGGGACTTCTCAGTATACATATTCTCATTGAGTTCTTCACCAGTTCATGAATACCGGAAGCTCTAGCCAGAACCCACACCACGGCATGGAAATAAACCAAGTGGCCCTCAGGGAAGGACTGGAATCAGAAGAAAGTGATGCCCGACATTCAGCACATGGCAGCACAGGGAGTAGGAGGTCCAGGACCGGTTCCAGAAGGATGAACCTGATACAGGAATCTGTGTTACGACAAGAGGTCACAACACAAAGAAGCCAGGATACTCTAAACAATATGACAGCCATGATGCAATGGCAGGTCAACAGGCAATTCAGGAAGGATCGAGAGGCTGCCATGGCCAGAATTCCCAATCCCGATGAGGTGGTCCAGCAACTAGACCTTCCCTATGGTCCCCCACCAGGGTTGGCGTGGCCATATCAAGAGAATCCTCTTGTTGCACAGATAGCTGGGATCCCAGAACGGGGAGGAATCCAGGCTGGACACAGGGAAGTGGCTTTTCCTATCCAAGAACGTCTGGCCCCAATACAGCCAGAAGGTCCTGCGCCAGGACAAGTTCTACAGAATCAGCAAGAGCCTCAGCCTGCTCCGCAACAAGCGGCCCCACAAGATCACCCTATGGAAGTTCTGCCTGAACATCCAGCAGTGGTACCCTACAGGCCCAGAAGGATGGACCCCAATCCATTCCCTCCACCTGCAAGAGGAAGGAGAGGCAGAGGGGGAAATTACCCTTATGCTAATAACGACAGGAACAGGCAGGGGGCAAACTGGAGGAACCACCCAGGCCTGGAGGAGCCGGAGGAGCACAGGGAAGAGCTCTGCCTAGACCATACAGGGCAGAACCACGATTCAATCATGCCCAGCCAGAACAGGGACAAAACCTTCCCCCGTTAATGCTCTAAATGACGTGGGGGCATTGCAGAGGATGATCAGAGAAATGATGGAGCCTGAGGCCAGGAGGGGGGAAAGGCCCACCTATAGGAAGCCATATCCACCTTACATTGATCAGATACCCCTTGTCCCCAGGGCTTTAAAGTACCAAACTTCACTTTATTCAACGGAGAGGATCCTCATGCTTCATCAGTTGAGCACGTAGGCAGATTTTCTACCCAATGCATAGCCATAGAGAATAACCCACTGCTAAAGCTAAGGCTTTTTGGGAATTCTCTCTCTGGACAAGCTTTCACTTGGTACACTACTCTGCCAGCAAATTCCATTCAGACATGGGAGCAAATGGAGAGCGTCTTCCATGACTACTATTACAGGATTCAGCCAGAAGTCACCATCAGTGACCTTGCAGCTCTCAAACAGAGTGAAGATGAACCTGCCCAAGACTTTATAAACAGGTTCAGGAAGCTCAAAATGAAGTGCCGAATCCCCATCGAAGAAAGACACTTCATTCAAATGGCTCAGGCTGCCCTCAAAATCTCTCTGAGGAAAAGATTTGATGGGATGCTGTTTGGAGATCTGGCAGAACTGGCAGATAAAGCGGCCAAGTACGAGGAATTGCTCAGAGAGGAACAGCAGAAGAGAAACTCTTCCAAAGGCACGTATTATAAATCCCCTTCCTCCTCAATACATATGATTGAAGTAGAGTCAGAAGAAGATGCGGAGGAATCAGAGGAGAGAGAGGTTGCAGTTGCGGAAATGGCAAAATTAAAGCATCCCATCAGTTGTAAAACTCTTACAAAACCTCCAAGGGATCAGAAGCCGCCACCATTCACAGGAGGGTTTGTTCCAAATAAACCCATGCAGAACAAAGTGTATTCCTTCGATCTGACCAAAGTAGATGCCTTGTTCGATGAAATGTTGCTACAGAAAGCAATAGAGACACCTCACAGGATGCCCAAGCCAGAAGAACTCAAGGGCAGACAGTATTGCAGATGGCACAATTCTTGGAATCATTCTACCAATAGTTGTGTTGTTTTCAGAGATGTCATACAGGAAGGAATAACAGCAGGAAGGCTGAAGCTAGCAGAGAAACCTCCATCTGTCACCACAGATCCTTTTCCCCAGCCACAAGTTAACATGGTCAACCTAAATTGGCCAGAACGGAAGAAGGACAGACCAGTCATGCAGGCTGGCTCCAGTGGAAGCAGAATAGTTTCAAAGGAGACTATGGAAAGACCAAAAGCAACCATTTCAGCTGGAATAGTGCTTTGCAGCAGGTGCAATTGTGAGGCTGAGTTGGAAGTAGTCCTGGAAAAACAGGAGCTGCCCATTCCAAGTGTTTTTGACCGGATCGGAACCACGCCCCATGATAGGACCAGACAGAGAAACTACCCTAGGCCTGTCCAATCCAACAGAAGAGTGACTAAGCAGCCCAAAGAGGAAATATCAATAAAAGTGCCCGGAAGTAACAAACCTTTGGCGGCCATCATTGAAGGCAGGTGGTACTCTATCGGGAAGAATGGCAGACCAACAATGGAGCTGACAAGAACCCAAAGGAGGAGGGTTCAGAGACAGTACTGCACATTCCTCAATAACGAGAAAAACGCACAGGTGCTTCCAAATGCCAATTCTGCCAGAAAAGGGAAAGAACCAGAAGTACTTCCCCAGACAGAACAAGCAATCTCTCAACTACAGAAGTTGACAAAAGCAGAATCCTCAGAGAAACCTTCTGTCCATCCTGCCCCCGCCTCAGGAGGTCTACTTGAAACTCCCCAACTAGAGGAAAGAACCGATCCTATTTCAGGAGAAGGACAAGAAGACTGGGTTGAGGAAGATGAAGAGGAGCAGCTGGATTATGAGCCATCCACAGATGACCAGAATACCCTCCTCGGGACAGAAGAACTGGGAGAATGGACGGAGAAATATGATGGAGAACAGATGGAATATGACGGAGAATTGGATGCAGAAACTGAGGCCTTTGGTGCAGAACTGGAGGACTTGTTACGTGTTGACCTAGGCATCAATATGGTGTTCATTCTGCCAGAAAAGTTCTGGGCGGTAGAAGGACAGAAGAGCACTCTGGACGGAGACGTATTTTCCCAAGAAAGTTTTGAATGCAGGTTGGCAGAAACGGAAGAAATGCCAGAACAGCAAACAGGCAATCCCAGGATAGAAGGAGCAACCCACAAGCTGACAACAGGTCCCCTTTGCTTCTCCAAACCAACCAAAGAAATGGCAAACCACCTCAGACCCTTGTTCATAACAGCAAACTTTGGGGGTGTTCCTATCCCCAAAACCATGGTAGATGGAGGTGCAGCCATCAACCTTCTGCCTCACAGAATGCTGAGCAAAATGGGCAGAACAGAGAAGGATCTAATCCCAACCCGCCTGACCGTCACCAACTTCGCAGGGGGCATCACCAAAACCCTTGGGATTCTGGATGTAGATGTCTTGGTAGGAAGCAAGAAGCTGAAGGTTGCATTCTTTGTGGTAGATACTACTTCCACCACTTACAATGCATTGCTTGGCAGAGATTGGATTCATCAGAGTCTGTGTGTTCCTTCCACTCTTCATCAACAGTTAGCTTTATGGAACGAAGATGGCTACATGGAGATAGTAGAGGCCGATCCACGGCCATTCCTACCTTCTGCCATGTGTTGTGAGGCAAGGTACTATCATGATGACCTTGGTCCTTTCACTTTCTTTGGAGTCAACCAGAACGGCCGCCCCCATGGTGTCACGGCCCAGAGACTCATTGAAGAAGGTCTAACCAATTCTTTGGAGGATTGGAACAGACCTTTTGTCCTAAATTTCCAAAGCACTGATGTTTAGTCCCAATCAACAAGAAAAGGATCGAGCTGCAACAATCCGGTCCATTACAAAAAGATTGTTGATATACTGGGAGGAAAGAAGGTTGTTTGCACAGAATCCAGCCATCAATATGGCAGAATTCACTCATGAAAGTACGGAAAGCCAGGAGGAAGAAGAACTACAGGAGGAAGTGCTAGATTTCGCACCAGCCGCATTGGATGACTCTCTGCCAGAAGTAGAAGATCCTTTGCAGGAAATAAATTTGGGAACAGAGGAGGATCCAAGGCCAACCTTCATCAGCGCACTATTGAAAGAACCACTTAAGAATGAACTCGTTGCACTTCTACAAGAGTTCAAAGACTGTTTTGCTTGGCATTATCACGAGATGCCAGGATTAGACAGGGAATTGGTAGAACACAAGCTACCAATCAAAGAGGGATACCTTCCAGTCAAACAGGCCAGAAGAAGAATGTCCATGGACACAGAACTGAAAGTCAAAGAAGAAATAGAAAGGCTGCTCAAAGCAGGATTCATCAGGCCTGCCATCTATGCTGATTGGCTAGCTAACATTGTACCAGTTCTAAAAAGGAAAACTGGGGCAGTCAGAATCTGCGTGGATTACAGAAACCTGAATGAAGCCTCTCCCAAGGATGAATACCCTATGCCAATGGCAGACATGCTAGTAGATGGAGCTGCCCACAACCAGATGCTATCTTTTATGGATGGCAACGCGGGTTACAATCAGATCATGATGGCAGAAGAAGACATCCACAAGACAGCCTTCATGTGTCCAGGGCATATAGGTGCTTTTGAATATACTGTAATGCCTTTTGGCTTGAGAAATGCAGGGGCTACCTATCAAAGGGCAATGAATTCTGTTTTCCACGATATGATAGGGCATTCCTTGGAAGTGTATATTGATGATGTTGTGATCAAATCACCAGAGGAGGGAAACCACATGACAAATCTAAGAAGAGCATTCCTCAGAATGAGGCAACATAAACTAAAAATGAACCCAAAGAAGTGCGTTTTTGGAGTTCAAGCGGGAAATTTCCTAGGATTTTTGGTCCACCAAAGAGGCATAGAGATCGACAAGAACAAAGCAAAATCCATCATAGAAGCTTTACCGCCTAGGAACAAGAAAGAATTGCAAAGTCTCTTAGGAAAAATTAATTTTTTAAGGAGATTTATATCCAATTCTGCAGGAAAGATCCAGCCTTTCTCTTCTCTGTTAAGGTTGAAACAGGAACAAACCTTTAAGTGGGAAGAACAACACCAGCAAGCTTTTGAGGAAATCAAGCATTACCTCTCAAATCCACCAGTTCTGTCCCCGCCAAAGAGAGGCAGGCCACTCAAGCTCTATATATCCGCATCAGAAGTATCCATTGGAAGTTTATTGGTTCAGGATAACAAGGAAGGAAAGGAACAGGCGGTTTACTACCTAAGCAGAACTCTGACAGAAGTGGAAAGGAAATATTCTGCAATTGAGAGACTTTGCCTAGCCTTGTACTTCACTGCTGTAAAGCTCAGACATTACATGCTGCCACACACCATCTATATCATTGCCAAAACAGATCTGATCAAATACATGCTGACAAGACCAATGCTGAGAGGCAGAATTGGAAAATGGACCTTGGCCTTGACAGAATTTGCCTTCAGATACGTTCCTCAGAAAGCCGTCAAAGGACAAGCTGTGGCAGACTTCCTAGCAGATCATCCCGGAGAGGAGATTGAAAATATGGACTCTTTAGACATAGCAAAATGCAGATCTATTAACCAGAGCTCACACCTGCCTCAACAATCCTATCTACTCAGTTCATCTTACACCTTGGAAGCTATACTTTGATGGGTCAAAAACTGATATAACTTCCGGGGAAGGAATTGTTTTGGAAGAGCCACTTGGAATCAGACACTGCTACTCTTTCCAATTAGATTTCCAATGCACCAACAATAGGGCAGAATATGAAGCCTTAATCATTGGCTTGGAAATGCTGGTAGAATTAGGGAATCCAGTTTGTGGAAATCCTGGGAGACTCCATGCTGGTTCTAAAGCAAATTGCTGGGGAATACAAGTGCCTAAGCCCTTCTCTGGCTGTCTACTTGGTGGCAGCTAGAATCTTCTGACGGAATTCAGAGAGGCCACTTGGGAACATATCCCAAGAGAAGAGAATTTTGCAGCCAATGAATTGGCCCAGGTGGCAACAGGCATACAAATACCCGAAGATTGTGTACAAAGAATCATCAAGATAGGAAAGAAAAGTTTACCATCGGTTCTGGCCAGGGGGATGGAGATAGATGTCAACTCTGCCACAATCGCTGAAGATGATTGGAGGAATCCTATCATGACCTATCTGCGATATCCAACTTTGCCCTCTGAGAAGAAAGTCAGAATCATGGCTTTAAACTACCTTATGTGGAATGAAGATTTGGTCCGAAAGAGTAAGGATGAGGTGCTTTTAAGGTGCCTCGGGAAGAAAGAATACATGAAAGTTATGGGGGAAACCCATGAAGGAATCTGTGGAGCACATCAAGGTGGAAGAAAAATGTGCTGGTTAATTAGGAGATATGGCTACTTCTGGCCAACCATGATGAAAGATTGCATTAACTATTCCAAGGGGTGTGAATCTTGTCAAAGACACGGCCCAGTCCAGCAGGCTCCATCAGTTCCCATGAATCCAGTGGTAAAACCATGGCCCTTTAGAGGATGGGCAATGGATCTTATTGGCAAGATCTATCCAGCCAGCAGCCAGCAGCACTGCTTTATCATTGTTGCCACAGACTACTTCACCAAGTGGGTGGAGGCCAAGGCTGTTAAATCCACTACATCTCAAGAGATCATCATTTTCATAGAAGAACAGATTATCCAAAGATTTGGCATCCCAGAATCAATCACAACTGATAGAGGATCATCTTTCATATCTAGAGAAATGCTGGACATGGCAGAGGCATTCAAATTCAGACTGCTCCAATCCACTCCTTATTATGCCCAAGCCAATGGACAGGCAGAATCAAGCAACAAAGTAATCATCAACATTATCAGGAAAATGCTTGAAAAGAATCCAAAACAGTGGCATGAGAAGCTGTCAGAAACTCTGTGGGCATATAGAACTTCAAAGAGAGAAGCGACTGGCATGACTCCCTACGCGTTAACCTACGGTCATGATGCAATTCTGCCTATGGAGATAGCTGTTCAGTCCCTCAGAATTGCTCACCAACATGACTTAGTAGGAGAAGACTACTCCCAGGCCATGCTGCTGGAACTGGAAGGATTGGATGCAGCCAGAATTGACACTCTCAACAAACTCCTGGCAGGAAAACAGGCTGTATCAAGGGCCTACAACAAAAGAGTCAGGAACAAGAGTTTTGAAGAAGGGGAGATAGTCTGGAAAGCAGTTCTGCCCCTTGGAACACATGTGGCTGGTTATGGAAAATGGTCACCTACATGGGAAGGTCCTTTCATAATCAGCCAGATCCTTGGAATGGGGGCATATAGGTTGCAGGATAGGGATGGAGAAGTTCATACGGCCCCGATCAATGGCAAATGGTTAAAAAAGTTTTATCCAACCATGTGGGATTCACAGGCTGTACAAACAGACCCGGGGATAGACACAGGAGTTAACTAAAAATCTTTTGAAAGTTACCCTTGTTTTTACCTTAAGTCTATCCCTTTGTTGTATTCCTACTTCTGTTTTCCATTCGATCCATCAATAGAAATAAAATGAACTTTATTTAAAAATAAATAAACCATGGGGCCTTCCCCACGGCAAGCTGTTCAGAAAAGCGAAAATAACGAAATCAAAATCCTAGTTTTCTAAGAGTCTCCTGCAGGTTAGTCTTCTTGGTAGAAAGTTCCTTTTGGAGCAGCACACCCTGATGAATTGAAGCTTCTGCAATCTCCAGGGCTGGCCTAGAAGCTGCAACCATGTTCTGCACAAGAAAAGTAGCCTTGGTCTTAGAACTCAATCCAGCCCCGAGCCTGTGCTGCACTTCCCGACGCTCTGCCAGCTGCTTTTGAAGTTCTGCAATCTCTTTTTCCAATTTATCCCCAGCAGCTTTGGCTTCTTTATACCCCGCAACCATCTGGTCCAGTTCTGCCTTCTGCTTTGCAAAATCAGCCAAATTGGCTTCATGAGTGGCCTTGCAGAACTCAGAGGTTTTGAAGGTAGGCTTCAGGTCTTCATAACGATCGTGAAGGTTGAGCACGTCCCTTGCCAAGACAAGACTCATCTCAAGAATGGGTCTTGGGGCCATGTTCTGTCTATGCAGCAGGTCCAGATCCTTCATCAACTGATCAAAGGCCTCTCTGTCTTCATCCAGCTCCAATTCAGCAGACTGCCAGATCTTCAGTCTCTCCATTGCTTCTTCCACTGCCCTGGACTTTGTCTTACCAACAGGAGAGCTGAGCTTTTCCAACTTATCCAGCTGGGCATCTAGGTCCATGGCTTCAAATTCTGCCAGCTCCGGGTCAGCAAAAGAAGCCGTGGCAGATGAACCTGCAAGAGAATGAATAGGCATCTGCAGAAGGAAGCATAAGGTCAAGAACAGGGCAGAGACAAGAAGAAGAAGATAGAACTGCAAAAAACACTCACTGCAACAATCGGAGGCTGCAAGGGGGTGGTCCTCACCGCCAAAGTCCCAGCAGTTCTTTGTGCTTCCACCTGTAAAGATTCGAGGGTCAGAAGGGACCAAGGGACAGAACGAAATGAGAAACGACAGAATAAGGACAGAACTCACCATAAACCCAGGAACGGCAGCAGCCACTCCTGCTACAATTTCAGGAGCAGGAACCACTTGTTCTGCCTGATCCCCGGGCTCCGATCCGGATTGTTCCACTTGGTCCTCAGCTGCTGGAGCGGCAGTGGAATGTTCTGCCTCTGGATCATCAAAAAGGGCCACCTCTGAGTTGGTCAGCCCTGCCCCTATATCTTCCTGCTGCTTCCGAGCCAAGGCAATGCTCTCCGCTATCACCTCAGCAGGAATTTCCTCCTACAGAATGCACGGAAGTCAGAACAGAATAGATCAAGGTGCAGCAGGAACAAATACTCCCAGATATAAATACAGACTCACCTCCTCCTCCACTGACTTGGCCTTCTCCTGGGGCTCCTCTCCTACCTTTTCCAGCTCTTCCAGCTCCCTTTCTTGCTCCACAGCTTCGAAGGCCTCTCTCAGATCATCATCCGTGCCGGAGGTGGTGGTAGGAACTGCCCCAGTTCCCTCCGGGGCCACGTATTCTTCTGCAATCTTCTTTCTAAGTCTTTTTGACTTAGTAAGAGGAGGAGAGGGACCTCCAACTGCAAACAGACAGAATAAGTCTTAAAGATTAAGACAGAACAGGATTATGAAGAATTCAAAAAGAGAAATCATCAAAGAATACCTGGAGCCACAGACTGGGCAGTTTCTTTTCTTTTTCTTTTGACAGGAGAAGTGGCCTCAACAGGAGTCTGTTCTGCCTGATCTCCCTCTTCTTCTTCTTCTTCTTCCTCCTCTCCATCCCCGGAGGGCAACTCCAGATCTCCAGCAGCAATGACAGAATTGACTATGCAGAAGACAAAAGTCAAAGGTCAATCCAGTAGAGAGTAGCCAAAGACTGGACAAAAAACACAACTTACCAAACACCTCTCCGCTTTGGGCTGGTTGGCTGCCTATATTCTTTGTCAGAGAAGGATCTGAGTACAGATAGAAAGGATTAGCATCATCACTAAAACACAGAATAGGCAACAACAGACAGAATAGAGAGATTACCTTCTATAATTTGCATGTTGATGTCTTTGATGGTCTGCACCATGAATCTGTGAGTCTCGTCGTCTGAATGGACATTCCAATTGTCCCAGCCCTTAAAAAGGACTTGAAGTGCGGTGCTAGAAGCAGGCAGATCACGGAATCTGGCTTTCCACCAAGCATCAAACTCCACAGAACTGCAGGAGTTCAATTCCCAGGAAGGATAAAGGGCATCTGCACTGTTGTTAATCTTGTTCACGGCACACCTGGCGTCTTTGTGGACCTCCAAGTCATCTGCATCCCTCCAAGAAGAACCCCGATTGCAGCTTCTGTATGACTTGAGGGGTATGAGCTGAGGACAGCCAAGCTGCCTTGCACAGAAGTTGGGATGGTAGACTTCCGCCCCCAAATGATAATTTGGAGGCTTTCCCCCTCCATGAGGCAGATCCCTGGGTAAGGTCACACTCAGGAACTTCTTCCTGAAATCAGTTCTGGCGGATTCTTCTTCTGGCTCTTTCTCAAACAGACGATGTCCAGGCTGAAACCAAGGATAGGTCCTCCTAATCACCATCTGCCACTGTGCTGCAGACCTCTTGGTACAATGCCTGAACATCATCAGGTATTCACCAATTGACCGCTTGGGGACTTCTGCTGACAGCAACGGTTGAGCCAGAACCTGGTTCTCAGGCAAAACTATGTCTGGATACCTTAACTCAGGAAAATAGACCTGCAGCCAGATCTGAATCATCCAGAAGGCACCAGGAGCAGACAGATTCAGCGGATACTCCAGAGTAGCGGTATGCAGGTTCTTGAACAGATGGGCCAGAACTGTAGGTCCAAGGCCAACATCAGTGTGATTATGCAGAGCTTCTGCCAGATGTCTGTACTCAAGCAGAACTGCAGAAGAACGATTGGGCAGAATAAACCTGTTCAGCCAATACAGGAGAAACAACATATGCTGCTGATCTTTGTCCTTCTCAGCACTAAATTTTCTAAGATAGTTGGAGAAGGAGCAATTCTGGTTGATCAAGGTTGGGGAAATAGTGAATGGCTTGGCTAGCTTCTGCTGGTCCTTCTTCCTGTGATAATCACCAATGGCATCAACAGGTCTTCCGTGAGGCCTAAAACCAAAAATCTGGGCCATATCCAGCAGAGTGGGAGCCATGGGGCCTATACGGAAATCAAAAGTGTTACTGGCAGAGTTCCAGAAGCACAAAGCAGCAGCAAGCAGATTCTCATCCCTGTTGATAGATTGCCTGGATAGGAGAATGGCGTCATAGATTCCAGCCCGCTTCCAGTGAGCCCCAAATCGAGGAAGAAGTTTGTCAATCCAATCAGCCCACTTGATTGGACTATTTCTCACCTCACTGGATGGGAACGAACGACTCAAATTCTTGCTGACCCAAGAATGAGAAGCCAGGGCAGAAGAGCTCTCGAAACATAGCGGGGCCTCAGCATCCTTCTTCATCAACTCCGCCATCTCGGGAGGAACGGGGCCAAACCAGTGAGGCCCCAGCACCAAGGTGTTTTCAAATAAATGGAGGACATTTTCATCCAGGTTTTTCTGGGCAAAAGGATGGAGCTTGCTCCTAACCTCTATCGCATGACTATCGATTCCAGCCCCAGTAACATAGTCTGGAAGAACTGGAACAGAGGAAGACTGAGCACGGGATTTCGGGGAAGACATCTCTTGGAAAGTTATTTTTTCTAAAGGGGGGTTCACAGGAAGGGCAAGGCAGGATCAAGCAAAAGGAAGTTCTTCGAAAACACGAAAGGAATCAAGTCTGAAAATACTAGGTTTTCAGGTGAACAGGAACAGTGGTTTTCGAAAGACTTTTAAAGAAGCCAGAAAACGTGGGAAAGAGATGACAGCGACGTGGAGAAGACAAAGCGTCAATCTGATAGTGACTAAGCTAATAGAGGGCTAGTAACTGAAGAACTGCGCCACACGAGCACTAGCTTAGTGGGGAAGCGTGGCAGACGTGGGATAAATGAAGGAATCCACCACGCGCCAATTTAATGGCCATGTCATTTAAGTCTGAAAACCGTTTCAAAACGATTCAGACTTAAGGGGGCATTGTTTGGGCCACAAATTGGCATACTCAGCCCAGCAAAATTTAGGCCCAGAATGAAGCTGCAAAAAAATCAAAGAAAGATGGAAGCCCAAAAGCCAGAGAAGACCAGCCCAAAACTCATCAAATCTGGGCCTCACAGGCCCAATATAAAAGGAAGAAGAAAGCCCAGAAGTAGGAACAATCCCACGTGACCTCTCTGAAAAAAGAAAAGTCAGCAATGGCAACTGTCACAGGAGAAGTAATTGAAGGGTTCATAATATCAAGATTGATTCTGGAAAAGCTAAAGATCAAATCCCTCTTACACATACATGATATATATATATACATACTCAGAGATTTTTTTCCCCTGTCTTTTCAGAAGGTAATTCTCCCAAGGAGATAAGCAAGTTACAATCTCAGAGAGAAATAAGCAGGAAAGCAGGAAGCTGTCCAGAAAAGAATCAAACTAACCATCACGGGCAAAATATCGCAAGGGGCAGTTGAAATTAGGCAAGAGATTTCAAAGAAAAAAAAACAGGGAAGTGATTGCCTATCTGTCAAGAACCTATCTACCAAAAACTGATGAAATCCCCTTTTTCTCTTTTCCATTTTTAAAGGAAGATCTTGTGAAAGGATTTGCCGCCCATTATTAAAAGAATTACCCTACTCCAGAAGACATTTCTTATAAATATGAGAAGGAGTGAACAGGGCAAGGACAATCAATCTTACAACAAAAATTTCATCATTCAACCAAACAAAGGTCCTACACAGGCAAACCGTCACATAAACAAGCTCAGAGTCGACCAACAAGTCCACTTGAATTTCAAGTGAAAAACCAGTCCCAGATCAGAATGCCCAGAATCCAGACTTAGGAAGCAAGTCATTCAAAACGAGATTTCTCTCGTTACAAATTTGGTTCAGCAAAAAACCAACACAAGCAGAGTTTGAGCCTCCTCCAAGTATGGAAAACCCCAGCCAAATTCACGGAATAGCCTCTAGCTCACCAACGTCCTCAAGAACAGCCACTTCTGCCCTTTCAGACTGAAGAAACCGCAGTTCTGCCTACTCAGAAGCTTCGCAAAAGCTTGAGGTACATTAAAGCTCTGCCAGAATCAACCTTTGGCATCGATTTGTAGTTGAAAATCGGGCAATCAGAGTTGTCTACGATCCAGTCCAGCCCATCACAGAGCCTCCCATCCAGGCAGAAATGGAGATCTAGCTATCTCTTTATCTTTTTTGCATCGACATGTATCTTTGTAGTCTTGTAAAAGGCACTTCCGCCCAAAAACAGCTTAAATTTCATCAACTATTCTGGCCAGAACAACCTCTTTATACTGAGATAAATTGTTAAAGTCCTCACCAGTCTGAGGCAAGAAAAGAACTTACTTGGGAGATATTCCTCACCCAAATTCACAATCGTTTGTTTAGGAAATCAGTAACTTGGGGCGCAAGTTATCCATTCCAGACTAAGTCTGCTAGACTGTTCATTACTAGCAGTGGCACGCTCGCACACCAAAGAAAGCTGACTTGTTGACCAGTCTATGGTTCTCAAGACAGTGGGGAACTTTGCCCTTCCATCATAGGAGTAAACACAAAACGGGTGAACACTATCATAATCCTACTATGTGCATTTGTTTAGGATAATTTATCTTATCAAAAAGGTGGGATACATAATTTCACTACTCCAACGCCTTTGACCTTTGGACCCAAGATCCGGGTGCCGCAACCCAAACCAGGGCTAGTGCCAATAAATGATATTTATCATTTCCAATATAGCGCAATCCTACTTCCTAATTCAAATCCTAGTCACCAAACATGGCCGATGGTTCCTTCCTTCCTTCACCTCCTCCTCATCAAACAATTTTGAAACCAACCCTGTCTCGAATATCATATCGTTATTGTGCATCCATCATGTAATATTCTTCCTTGCCTGTCCATCACCATCTCAACAGTTACTTCTTCTTCTTCTTCTTCTTTGCTTTGCTTGTAAGTTGTGTTTCGTTTTGTGCTTTGTTGCCAAACATAGGCTGATGGGTGGTTGGTGGTAAATCAGAGGTAAGGTTGTGGACTGTGAAGGTTGCGATTTTTAATAAGTTTAATTTTCAAATCTTGTTCTTCGCATCTAACTTTGATGACTGCAGCTTGGGGTTTAGACCAAATCTTCTACTTCATTCTTCAAATATGCAAAAGAAACTAAATAAATAAATAAATTTCCAGCTGCTAAGCTAAACTTAAGCTAAACAAGCTTTTCTCTTTAAGCTTGGTTCATAATTGTTTAAGTCGTGACACATAAAACAAACAGTTCCAATTATATGATGTTTCTATATATATAAAGGTGGAAGGCCTTAAAAGTGAAATATTCAAAATCCCCACAATTGCCCTCGATTAATGAAAATACTAAACATAAGACACTTTATTAAATAGGGGTAAAATAGTACATTCACACTTTATTTAAATTTAAAGAAATAAAAAATGAAAATGAAAAGCTCAGCTTGGAAAAAAAAACCCAATTGGCACACAGTAATAAATAAAGCAAAAAATCTACAAAAACATCCTAACTTGTCAAGGCAACGCTCAATGAATAGTAAGATGATTTAGAGGCTAGACTAACATAGTCCATTAAAAGGTGGCACAACCCAAATAGCTCTCTGAGTATTGGTTTTCACTGAGTAATGTTGCGTGATGGTTCCTTCCTCCAAGTTGAAGATCCCCATATCATTTGCTTCATCACCATCTGACAAAGGAGAAGTTGATAGGAAATCATCGGTGTAATATATGGAATTTGGCTGACATCCAGGAAAGTTTGAAGCCAAAACAGAGATTGAATGATTGTCGCCCACGAAAAGAGCCTCATCTCCAATGCTTTTTACCTCAACCTTGTGCGCAATAGAACCTCCATCTTCTTCATCGTTCAACACCCACTTGTAAACCGCAAATCCCAGTGTCTGCCTATTACAAAACCTAAAAGCACCGTCCTTTGGCACATAATATCTTAGTATATGCAGCAAGTCTCCCTTAGTTGATTCCACAAGATATGCATGAAAACAATAAGATCGGAATGGCTTTCGAGGTGTGAGTAGCTTTATCGATGGTGGTTGTGAAGGGTTATTACTATCACTACCATGAACATCCAATGACCCAATCGCTCCAAATGATGTAACTGCATACAATTGGCTTTTATAGAATATTACATCACCATATGAAGTTCCAGCAGGGTTGACGTAGGTCCAGGAGTTTTGGCCTGCCTTGATGAAAGCCAACTCAAACCAGCAACGGTAAAGTGCTACAACCACGTAATTCTCCGGATTCAGAGTGGGGTCAGTGGACAAGATAACCTTAGGAACATAATGCTCAAAGTAGGATGGTCCATAAACTGAGATATGGGCATTCAAGGGAGGGAGATAAATGGGATTTGCTTTTGTGAAAGGGTTCCTGAGTGTTACGGTCACTACACCTTGGTCTGTTGGATCAACTGTGGCAAACCAGCCATGGCAAGAGCCACTACACCTCCTCTTAAAAGGAACTTGCAGTTGAATATTGTTGTAGATTCTTCCTTCAGAAATGCTGTACAATACTCTTCGGTCGTTGTTTTTGTCCTGGTTCGGGATCAGGAGCATGGGGAGAAGTTGTTTGTTGTGCCACCGCTGTGTTGCCTGATTATAGATTTTGGACATAGAACGCCATTTCTTGCAGACGGCAGCAAAACGGACATGGTCAATGGGTTCTAATAACTTATCCAGAATCAAAAAGACAAGTGCTGGATAACTTGCCCATTCCCCATTGCTGAAGCTGACAGCCGTGGTCCTACGACGACAGGGGTCCTTATCAAACTTAAAAGCGGACATAAAATGAATTCTTTGCTATGAAACTTTAATTTTGAATTCGAAACACAAGGAAAAGGCAAAACCAGAACAGAGAAGAAAAAAGAAAGAAACTGCAGGAGGGTATAATTGTATGCTTGTGATGCAGAGAAGAATGCTTTGATAGATAGTAGTTGATGATGAGGAGAAGTGAAGTGAACTCCTAATTTAAAACAACAAGACAGTGAAAACAAATCTCCTTTAAGAATAAGGAAACCATTTTCCAACATCAACAAGGAAAAGGCATTGAAAACAAATCTCCGTTGAGAATAAGGAAACCATTTTCCAACATCAACAAGGAAAAGGCATTGAAAACAAATCTCCTCTAAGAATACGGAAACCATTTTCCAACATGAACAAGGAAATCCTAATAAGAATTAAAGGAATTAATTAAAAGCTTATCGGTTTTTTTTTGGGTTGTAAAAAGAAACAATTAGGAAATCCCTTCCTCTAGTGTCTAGACTAGATACTAGAGAAAATTAATCGCCTTTAAGTTCGAAAGTTGAAAATTAATCGCCTTTAAGTTCGAAAGTTGAAAATTAATCGCCTTCATCAATCAACCAAACCATATTAATTAACATCCAAACTTTTAAATTGAATAGAGATTGGTTGATTAATCTTAATCAGAGTGAAAAATCCAAATAAAATAAAAAAGGATAAATTGAAAACTAACTTACCTCCATGAAATCGACGAGCTTTCTGCAACTTTTGAGATGCTGCATCGACGTAATGGAGCAGCACCGGGTCTTGTTGCTCCGCTAGGGATAGACTCATTGGATCCGTACCCAGCCTCAACCTCCCTCATCAGTGGGTCTTGTCCGCCGATGCCTGCCTGCCCGGAGTTGCAGTTGCAGTTTTTGTGCCAGCTTAACTTATGTTATATGAAACTTTGAGTACACCTGCTACCACTTATGAGCAACAATATAACAAATAATTCATTAAATAATTTTAACTATAAACACTGAGTATTTCAGGATACTCTTACTCCCTTTTGTGCACTCTAAGTGGCTGAATCATGATTGCATATCCAAGTTGAAATTGTATCTTGTCGATTCTCAGTATGAACCTATAAGACAATAAGAAGTCTCTACCAAAATTGTATACCAAGGTAATCATCAGTTGCACACATTTTCATAAAATTGAAGACAAGTTAGTCTCATAATAAAATTTTATAATGAAAATAAATTTCACACGGACATAACATGTTTGCCAAGGAAATATAAAAATTATTATGTCACTAAATGAATATAATGAATTTTCCCATGAGAGCATAAAGAAATTAAAAACACACACAAAATTATGGGAAAGAGAGAAGGAAATCCTACATAAAAGAATCTAATATTTTTAGGTATAAAAGCAAAAACTGCTTTATGTTAGTAACAAATAAAATTACAGCATTAAAGTTCCCATTTAGGAAAATTCAACTTCCACAAATTGGTCTACACGTTTTAAAATAAAAATATTAATAATTATCAAACACAAATATTGTAAGCATTTGAGCGCTAATTAAGATAAAATAAATCTGAATAAAGGAGATATCAAAACTTATACAATAAATATACAAGATAACTTCAGTTTTAAAGAGGTAATCAAACCACTCAAAATCTGGGAAATTAAATTCAATATAAAATTGAAATTAATTTTGTATTTTGAACTACCCACAAAAATTCCAACAATTACTCACATAGTTAACAAAAAAAACTCAACCCCCCACAAATTAAGGGTAGTCTCAAAATATATGAAGTACGCTATACCAAAATTTTATTTATTTTTAAATTCATAAGACTTCACAATCAGAAAGAAATTAGTTCACTCAATATATTTGTAACGAAATTAACTCAAGTAAATAATATGAAGCAGCTAAAAGTTCTTAACGTGATTTTACATATGTGACATAAAATAATTCTTAATAATGTCCAAGACATTTAGAAGCCAGCACAAAAGAAAGTTTTCATTTTTGGTTGTTATCTCAAAGGCAAAAAATAAAATAGAAATGATGGCTATTAATATAGATCCCAAATTCCAAATGTAACAAATTAGTGAGCTTAAAATAGCATAATTATTTAAAATTTAATTGGTCATATATGGTTAGAGTGATAATATATAGCATTATAAAGTGCAACCAAGTAGCACTAATTTTTCCCTTCAAATTTAAATCCTTAAAGCAAAAATGTGCGCATGTAAACCTCTTGAGAGAAGAAAAAATTCACAACATAGACTAGTTGTCAATCGGAATAAAGCATTAAACCAAATCTATTAAATCACACAAAAATAATGCAAAAGAATTCAACATTGAAAGCAATAAAATACCAACGTTAACAGCATGATTTAATGGCAAATATGAATACAAATTGAAGATTAAATCATATCAAAAGAATTTAAATTAATCTGCAGTTTTTCCAAAAATTAATAAAGCAAAACTAACGCAAAGCTCTTGACTTCAAAATTGTAGGAAGACTATATAATCAAATCATAAAAATTTCTTTTTCCTTTTGTTTTTTTCCCCTTCTTCTTTTGCAAGTTAAAGAAAAACTCATGCCAAGCTTAACAGTAACACACACAAAAAAAATGCAATTAAATTTCATAAAGTTGGTCATCTTAACGGCAATAATCACCCAACATTATTAACAACTTTATTACTAAAAATAAAAGCTGTAATCTTCATGAAATTGACATTGAAGTTTTGAAACTAAGGCTGCATAAAAAAAATAAAAAAATAAAAAATAAAAAATAAAAAATCAATTAGCCAACTAGTTAAGGCTTTTACAATTGTTGGTTCCTCCAAAATTAATTTTAAAACATTTCAATAGCAATAAAATCTCATAAACCTTTCTTTCTACCTATTTTTGAAACATAAAAATCTATAATATCATCAAAATATTAATTGACAAAATCAATACACCGATTGAGGACAAAAAATTTGGTCAAATAAAAAACCAAAACTGACGCCAAAGTAAATATTTCAAAATAACCCAATAAGTGAGCACCAATGACATTGAAGTAAATTTATAGCAATTACAATATTAATACATAAAGAGTTGTAGATATAAAATTTTAAGATAATGACCGAAAGAAACCAAAACCAAAAGTAAAACAGTTTTAATTCCATACACAAAACCTTCTATTTGTAGAATTTATGGAGCTCTTCTCTTTTTTTTTCTTTTTCCAAAACGATAATTCCATTTCATTCAACAGTAAAAGAGGATACACCAATTGCCAACGAATTAATTAACCATAAAGGGGGAGATCCCTCCCACTTACTCAGACCTTGGGTTTTGGACGCAAAGGCAGCAACTAAATCTGCCACCTTATTAGCTATTCTAGAAACAAAAGACAAGACCACCGTCTGCATCTGCCGCATCAGGAATCTAATGTCATGCACAATACCTTCAACCCGGGAGTCAGAACAGCCAACCCCTTTCAGCATATCAATCATGAGCTTGGAGTCAGACTCCAGCACCACCCGCTGCCAGCCCTGGTCCACTCCCGCACACAGACCCGCCCGTAATGCCTCAGCTTCAGCAACTATTGCAGCGCCGCATCGCACACCTCCTTCACCCCCAGCCCCTTTAAACACCCCAGATGCATCACGTATCACCCAACCCCACCCACCACGCAAAGTTTGTGACGTCCATGCCCCGTCACAATTGATTTTAACAAAATCCATCGGAGGGCAGGACCTTTGTTGAGTGCCCAGGCTCCGATGTTCTCCGCCACCTCCTTGGATGGGTGTCGTCTCCTTTCCCTTCTCCCTAGTCTGCAAAAAATCAGTTTGCTGCTTGATCATGATCTCCACAGCCTCAGCTGGGTGAATCGGACGCCCTTCAAATACCAGACTGTTTCGACACTTCCATAGCCGCCAGAGCCCGTATGCAATGGAGCTCAGCAGTTCATCCTTTCTAGACTCCTGTGCAAAACGATCACACAACTCCAACCATATGTCTGCAAAGGTTCCCCCCTGCAACGACCGAACATCTAATTGAATGGGGCATGCAAACCAGACCAGCCGTGCATAGTTGCACTGGAACAGAGATGGGCTACCGACTCATTGGGTTGCTGACAAGATGGGCACGTCAAATCAACCTGCATACACACGCTGCGTCTATTTAGCTGTGCGATGTAATTTGAGGCAGCGGGGTATGCAGGTTGATTTGACGTGCCCATCTTGTCAGCAACCCAATGAGTCGGTAGCCCATCTCTTGTTCCAGTGCAACTATGCACGGCTGTTCTGGTTTGCATGCCCCATTCAATTAGATGTTCGGGTCGTTGCAGGGGGGAACCTTTGCAGACATATGGTTGGAGTTGTGTGATCGTTTTGCACAGGAGTCTAGAAAGGATGAACTGCTGAGCTCCATTGCATACGGGCTCTGGCGGCTATGGAAGTGTCGAAACAGTCTGGTATTTGAAGGGCGTCCGATTCACCCAGCTGAGGCTGTGGAGATCATGATCAAGCAGCAAACTGATTTTTTGCAGACTAGGGAGAAGGGAAAGGAGACGACACCCATCCAAGGAGGTGGCGGAGAACATCGGAGCCTGGGCACTCAACAAAGGTCCTGCCCTCCGATGGATTTTGTTAAAATCAATTGTGACGGGGCATGGACGTCACAAACTTTGCGTGGTGGGTGGGGTTGGGTGATACGTGATGCATCTGGGGTGTTTAAAGGGGCTGGGGGTGAAGGAGGTGTGCGATGCGGCGCTGCAATAGTTGCTGAAGCTGAGGCATTACGGGCGGGTCTGTGTGCGGGAGTGGACCAGGGCTGGCAGCGGGTGGTGCTGGAGTCTGACTCCAAGCTCATGATTGATATGCTGAAAGGGGTTGGCTGTTCTGACTCCCGGGTTGAAGGTATTGTGCATGACATTAGATTCCTGATGCGGCAGATGCAGACGGTGGTCTTGTCTTTTGTTTCTAGAATAGCTAATAAGGTGGCAGATTTAGTTGCTGCCTTTGCGTCCAAAACCCAAGGTCTGAGTAAGTGGGAGGGATCTCCCCCTTTATGGTTAATTAATTCGTTGGCAATTGGTGTATCCTCTTTTACTGTTGAATGAAATGGAATTATCGTTTTGGAAAAAGAAAAAAAAAGAGAAGAGCTCCATAAATTCTACAAATAGAAGGTTTTGTGTATGGAATTAAAACTGTTTTACTTTTGGTTTTGGTTTCTTTCGGTCATTATCTTAAAATTTTATATCTACAACTCTTTATGTATTAATATTGTAATTGCTATAAATTTACTTCAATGTCATTGGTGCTCACTTATTGGGTTATTTTGAAATATTTACTTTGGCGTCAGTTTTGGTTTTTTATTTGACCAAATTTTTTGTCCTCAATCGGTGTATTGATTTTGTCAATTAATATTTTGATGATATTATAGATTTTTATGTTTCAAAAATAGGTAGAAAGAAAGGTTTATGAGATTTTATTGCTATTGAAATGTTTTAAAATTAATTTTGGAGGAACCAACAATTGTAAAAGCCTTAACTAGTTGGCTAATTGATTTTTTATTTTTTATTTTTTATTTTTTTATTTTTTTTATGCAGCCTTAGTTTCAAAACTTCAATGTCAATTTCATGAAGATTACAGCTTTTATTTTTAGTAATAAAGTTGTTAATAATGTTGGGTGATTATTGCCGTTAAGATGACCAACTTTATGAAATTTAATTGCATTTTTTTTGTGTGTGTTACTGTTAAGCTTGGCATGAGTTTTTCTTTAACTTGCAAAAGAAGAAGGGGAAAAAAACAAAAGGAAAAAGAAATTTTTATGATTTGATTATATAGTCTTCCTACAATTTTGAAGTCAAGAGCTTTGCGTTAGTTTTGCTTTATTAATTTTTGGAAAAACTGCAGATTAATTTAAATTCTTTTGATATGATTTAATCTTCAATTTGTATTCATATTTGCCATTAAATCATGCTGTTAACGTTGGTATTTTATTGCTTTCAATGTTGAATTCTTTTGCATTATTTTTGTGTGATTTAATAGATTTGGTTTAATGCTTTATTCCGATTGACAACTAGTCTATGTTGTGAATTTTTTCTTCTCTCAAGAGGTTTACATGCGCACATTTTTGCTTTAAGGATTTAAATTTGAAGGGAAAAATTAGTGCTACTTGGTTGCACTTTATAATGCTATATATTATCACTCTAACCATATATGACCAATTAAATTTTAAATAATTATGCTATTTTAAGCTCACTAATTTGTTACATTTGGAATTTGGGATCTATATTAATAGCCATCATTTCTATTTTATTTTTTGCCTTTGAGATAACAACCAAAAATGAAAACTTTCTTTTGTGCTGGCTTCTAAATGTCTTGGACATTATTAAGAATTATTTTATGTCACATATGTAAAATCACGTTAAGAACTTTTAGCTGCTTCATATTATTTACTTGAGTTAATTTCGTTACAAATATATTGAGTGAACTAATTTCTTTCTGATTGTGAAGTCTTATGAATTTAAAAATAAATAAAATTTTGGTATAGCGTACTTCATATATTTTGAGACTACCCTTAATTTGTGGGGGGTTGAGTTTTTTTGTTAACTATGTGAGTAATTGTTGGAATTTTTGTGGGTAGTTCAAAATACAAAATTAATTTCAATTTTATATTGAATTTAATTTCCCAGATTTTGAGTGGTTTGATTACCTCTTTAAAACTGAAGTTATCTTGTATATTTATTGTATAAGTTTTGATATCTCCTTTATTCAGATTTATTTTATCTTAATTAGCGCTCAAATGCTTACAATATTTGTGTTTGATAATTATTAATATTTTTATTTTAAAACGTGTAGACCAATTTGTGGAAGTTGAATTTTCCTAAATGGGAACTTTAATGCTGTAATTTTATTTGTTACTAACATAAAGCAGTTTTTGCTTTTATACCTAAAAAATATTAGATTCTTTTATGTAGGATTTCCTTCTCTCTTTCCCATAATTTTGTGTGTGTTTTTAATTTCTTTATGCTCTCATGGGAAAATTCATTATATTCATTTAGTGACATAATAATTTTTATATTTCCTTGGCAAACATGTTATGTCCGTGTGAAATTTATTTTCATTATAAAATTTTATTATGAGACTAACTTGTCTTCAATTTTATGAAAATGTGTGCAACTGATGATTACCTTGGTATACAATTTTGGTAGAGACTTCTTATTGTCTTATAGGTTCATACTGAGAATCGACAAGATACAATTTCAACTTGGATATGCAATCATGATTCAGCCACTTAGAGTGCACAAAAGGGAGTAAGAGTATCCTGAAATACTCAGTGTTTATAGTTAAAATTATTTAATGAATTATTTGTTATATTGTTGCTCATAAGTGGTAGCAGGTGTACTCAAAGTTTCATATAACATAAGTTAAGCTGGCACAAAAACTGCAACTGCAACTCCGGGCAGGCAGGCATCGGCGGACAAGACCCACTGATGAGGGAGGTTGAGGCTGGGTACGGATCCAATGAGTCTATCCCTAGCGGAGCAACAAGACCCGGTGCTGCTCCATTACGTCGATGCAGCATCTCAAAAGTTGCAGAAAGCTCGTCGATTTCATGGAGGTAAGTTAGTTTTCAATTTATCCTTTTTTATTTTATTTGGATTTTTCACTCTGATTAAGATTAATCAACCAATCTCTATTCAATTTAAAAGTTTGGATATGGTTTGGTTGATTGATGAAGGCGATTAATTTTCAACTTTCGAACTTAAAGGCGATTAATTTTCAACTTTCGAACTTAAAGGCGATTAATTTTCTCTAGTATCTAGTCTAGACACTAGAGGAAGGGATTTCCTAATTGTTTCTTTTTACAACCCAAAAAAAAAACCGATAAGCTTTTAATTAATTCCTTTAATTCTTATTAGGATTTCCTTGTTCATGTTGGAAAATGGTTTCCGTATTCTTAGAGGAGATTTGTTTTCAATGCCTTTTCCTTGTTGATGTTGGAAAATGGTTTCCTTATTCTCAACGGAGATTTGTTTTCAATGCCTTTTCCTTGTTGATGTTGGAAAATGGTTTCCTTATTCTTAAAGGAGATTTGTTTTCACTGTCTTGTTGTTTTAAATTAGGAGTTCACTTCACTTCTCCTCATCATCAACTACTATCTATCAAAGCATTCTTCTCTGCATCACAAGCATACAATTATACCCTCCTGCAGTTTCTTTCTTTTTTCTTCTCTGTTCTGGTTTTGCCTTTTCCTTGTGTTTCGAATTCAAAATTAAAGTTTCATAGCAAAGAATTCATTTTATGTCCGCTTTTAAGTTTGATAAGGACCCCTGTCGTCGTAGGACCACGGCTGTCAGCTTCAGCAATGGGGAATGGGCAAGTTATCCAGCACTTGTCTTTTTGATTCTGGATAAGTTATTAGAACCCATTGACCATGTCCGTTTTGCTGCCGTCTGCAAGAAATGGCGTTCTATGTCCAAAATCTATAATCAGGCAACACAGCGGTGGCACAACAAACAACTTCTCCCCATGCTCCTGATCCCGAACCAGGACAAAAACAACGACCGAAGAGTATTGTACAGCATTTCTGAAGGAAGAATCTACAACAATATTCAACTGCAAGTTCCTTTTAAGAGGAGGTGTAGTGGCTCTTGCCATGGCTGGTTTGCCACAGTTGATCCAACAGACCAAGGTGTAGTGACCGTAACACTCAGGAACCCTTTCACAAAAGCAAATCCCATTTATCTCCCTCCCTTGAATGCCCATATCTCAGTTTATGGACCATCCTACTTTGAGCATTATGTTCCTAAGGTTATCTTGTCCACTGACCCCACTCTGAATCCGGAGAATTACGTGGTTGTAGCACTTTACCGTTGCTGGTTTGAGTTGGCTTTCATCAAGGCAGGCCAAAACTCCTGGACCTACGTCAACCCTGCTGGAACTTCATATGGTGATGTAATATTCTATAAAAGCCAATTGTATGCAGTTACATCATTTGGAGCGATTGGGTCATTGGATGTTCATGGTAGTGATAGTAATAACCCTTCACAACCACCATCGATAAAGCTACTCACACCTCGAAAGCCATTCCGATCTTATTGTTTTCATGCATATCTTGTGGAATCAACTAAGGGAGACTTGCTGCATATACTAAGATATTATGTGCCAAAGGACGGTGCTTTTAGGTTTTGTAATAGGCAGACACTGGGATTTGCGGTTTACAAGTGGGTGTTGAACGATGAAGAAGATGGAGGTTCTATTGCGCACAAGGTTGAGGTAAAAAGCATTGGAGATGAGGCTCTTTTCGTGGGCGACAATCATTCAATCTCTGTTTTGGCTTCAAACTTTCCTGGATGTCAGCCAAATTCCATATATTACACCGATGATTTCCTATCAACTTCTCCTTTGTCAGATGGTGATGAAGCAAATGATATGGGGATCTTCAACTTGGAGGAAGGAACCATCACGCAACATTACTCAGTGAAAACCAATACTCAGAGAGCTATTTGGGTTGTGCCACCTTTTAATGGACTATGTTAGTCTAGCCTCTAAATCATCTTACTATTCATTGAGCGTTGCCTTGACAAGTTAGGATGTTTTTGTAGATTTTTTGCTTTATTTATTACTGTGTGCCAATTGGGTTTTTTTTTCCAAGCTGAGCTTTTCATTTTCATTTTTATTTCTTTAAATTTAAATAAAGTGTGAATGTACTATTTTACCCCTATTTAATAAAGTGTCTTATGTTTAGTATTTTCATTAATCGAGGGCAATTGTGGGGATTTTGAATATTTCACTTTTAAGGCCTTCCACCTTTATATATATAGAAACATCATATAATTGGAACTGTTTGTTTTATGTGTCACGACTTAAACAATTATGAACCAAGCTTAAAGAGAAAAGCTTGTTTAGCTTAAGTTTAGCTTAGCAGCTGGAAATTTATTTATTTATTTAGTTTCTTTTGCATATTTGAAGAATGAAGTAGAAGATTTGGTCTAAACCCCAAGCTGCAGTCATCAAAGTTAGATGCGAAGAACAAGATTTGAAAATTAAACTTATTAAAAATCGCAACCTTCACAGTCCACAACCTTACCTCTGATTTACCACCAACCAC